TGTTTTGCGGTGGTACTGATGGAAGGGATTTTTGTATACATTTTGCGTTGAAACAGTACCTCATATGGTGAACTTGCTGTCGTGCTGTGGGGCGTTGATCGGTATTCACGCAGAAAGATGTTTAGTTGCTGTTTCCAGGGAACACCTTTTGTTTCAGCTACACGCAGAGCTTTGCCTAGTGTTCTCATGAATCTTTCAGCTGTGGCATTAGCTTGAGGCCAAAGAGGTGTTATCTTCCGATGATGAAAACCAAGATAGTCTGCAAATTGTGAGAATGCATCACTATTGAATGGCGGACCATTGTCAGTTTTTACAACTCTGGGTATTCCAAAGACAGAGAACACCTTATCCATGACTGGGATGACAGTACCAGCTGACGTTGACCTCACAGTTTCAACAATAGGATAGCGAGAGTAATCATCAGTTATGACGAGAAGATACTCTCCTGTGGGAAGAGGTCCATAGAAATCTGCGCTCACGTTGTGCCATGGTGCTTCTGGTAAAGGTGACATTCTTAGTGGCTCGTTTTGTGTGATCGGTGTGTTTGATTGACATGCCAGACAATTGTGAACTATGGCTTCCACTTTTCGATCAATGTCTGGGAACCACACTTTGGTTCGTAGCAGTGATTTTGTTTTCACAATGCCCTGATGTCCTTCATGGGCAAGCTGAATGGCTCTGTCTTGTAAAGTAGTAGGAATGACGATTCTTGTGTCTCTGAGAAGGATGTCTGAATCTTGGGTTACTGTCAGTTCACTACAGACATGTTTAAATTTCGTCAGTGTTTCAGAATTGTGTGACTTTTCAGTTAGATGCCATGTGTTGTTTCTGATGCAACAGATCACTTCCTGCAGAAGAGAATCTTTCAGAGTCTCAGTTTTTATCTCTAGTAGTGTCATGGCCTTTGGTGTGGAGTGAAACGAGAAGAAGTTCACATATTCTTCTGCAACTTTACTTGCTCTTGTGCTTTCACTGTTGTGTGACGGTAGCGGATGTCGGGACATGAAATCAGCAGGATTGTCCGCACCTTTTCTGTATTCTACTCTGAAGTTGTATGGTTGGAGTCTGAGTCCCCATCTTTCTATCCTGGCTGGTGGTTTTGATCTTGGGTTATTCCATATGATCTCCAGTGCTTTGTGATCAGTTACAAGTATGAATGGATGTCCATAAATGTAAAGGTGAAAGTGTTCACAGCTCCATACAATGGCAAGAGCTTCTTTTTCTGTTTGAGAATATCTCGTCTCCACATCACTGAGCGAACGACTTGCGTATGCAACAATATGCTTCATCCCCTTTTCATCTTTTTGACAAAGGATTGCACCCAGTCCCACAGGACTAGCGTCAACTATCAGTTCAGTTTGTCTGCCTGGGTAGAAGTATGACATGGTTGTGTCACTCGTGAGATTGTCTTTAAGCGCTTGGAGTGCCACTTTTTGTTCATGTCCCCATGTCCATTGTGTGTCTTGTCTTGTAAGCTTACGGAGAGGCTCTGAGATCGAGGAAAAGTCTTTGATGAATCTGGAACAGTAATTTGCCATGCCCAGAAGACTTTTGATGTCTGCAGGTGTTTTCGGATCAGGAGCGTGCTGAATGGCTGCGACCTTTTTGGGGTCTGCTGACACGCCACCCGCAGAAAAAATGAAGCCAAAGAATTCAAGTTTTGTCTTGTTGAATTCGCATTTCTCACGATTCAGTGTGAGACCAGTCTCTGTAAGTCTTTTAAATAGAGCTCTGAGGTTGTTGTCATGCTCAGTTTGATTTGGGCCATAAACAATGATATCATCACTGAGATTTTTTACTCCTTTCAGTCCTTGGAGCGTTTGATATATTGCATTTTGGAACACTTCAGCTGCGGAGGATATACCAAAACTTAGTCTCTTGTATCGTCTCAGTCCAAGATGAGTGGTGAACGTGGTTATGTACCGACTGTCTGGATGAAGTTCTAGTTGGTGGTACCCTGCTCTGAGATCGAGCTTGGAGAACACAGTTGAACCATTCAACTCGTGTATTACATCATCGATCGTGGGTGTGATATGGCGTTCTCTTTCAATGGCTGTATTCGCCTGCCTCATATCAACACAAATCCTCACTTTGTTTGGATCTTTTGGTTTCGGAGGTGTTACTATGGGTGAAACCCATGGTGTTGGCCCAGTGACCTCCTCAATTATGTCATCATCTTGTAGCTTTTGAAGTTCATCCTCCACTTTTTGGCGTAGATGGAAGGGAACACGTCGATGTGGTTGGCACGTGGTTTTAACATCTGTGCAGCTTTACCTGAAAATCTTTGAGTTTTCCAATGCCTTTGAACAGCTTTGGGTGGCTTTCAACAAGCTCATCGGCCACAGAGTGCTGTGTGTGGCCAGATACTGCTGTAATGATGTGAATCAGGCCTAAATCCTTTGAAGTTTCATAGCTCAAAATGTTGAAGCAGTCACCTTTAATCACAAACACGGTACATTTTATTTTCTTCTCATGTTTTTCCACACTACACTCAAACGCACCACACACTGGCAATGACTCGGTTGAGCGATAGGGGTAGATCTTGGTGTCAGTTGGATTCAGTGTTGGGCGTGGAAGCAGTTTGTCATAAGTTGTTTCACTTATACAGTTGGCTGTGGCCCCAGAGTCAATTAGGACAAGAGTCTGGGTACCCATCATTGTGACAGTAGTTTGTGGAAGTTTGGTGGTGTTAGTTGCTTTAACAACATAAACATAGGCCTCATCGCTGCTGGATGTGTCACCCGTTTTCTCACGTGAAGCACCTTCTGATACCTGATTCACACTTTTGGAAGTTTTGAGACTTTTGTAACTTCTTTGACTTTTGTATTTTGTCTCCTTTGGTTTTGAACGGCATTGTCGTGCAAAATGATTCAACTTGCCACATGCTTTACATTCTTTACCTTTCGCTGGACATTCACCTTCATGAGGGTAGCTGCCTCCACAATTTCTGCAGCGGTTGTTAGACAGCCTTTTGGGCGACCAGTTGCCGCTCTCTGGGTTTTTTGGTTTAACTTTGTGGTATAATTTATTTACTGTGGCCACACTACCACCTTCCATGCCTGTAGCTTGCATTTCAGACAGCTCACATGCACGGCCATGGTTCAGAATATCCTCTAGAGATAGATCGGGCTCTCTCAATGCTTTTCTGCGCAGACGTGATGACGCACAGCTTTGTATGATTTGTGTCTTGATTTCCACATTTGTGTCTGCAAACTCAGTTTTTTGCTAAAATCCTTAATCTTGTGTGGTAAGTGTCCAAGTTTTCCCCAGGTTCCTGTACAGCTTTTCTGAACAAGTAGACTTGATACTGGACGTTTCTCTTGGGTGTGAAATAGGCTGTGAGTTTCTGTTTAGTATCAGCGTATTTGTCGCCATCTGCTGACAATGTGTCGTAAATATCATGCACTCTTTCTCCGGCAACGTGCAGCAGCAGTGCTTTTAATCTTGCATCGCCAGTAATGTTAACAGCAGTGGTGTAGTTTTCAAACCTCTGCAACCACTTGTTCCAACGAGGTCCGACAGAACTCGGTTCGGTTTCCGTGTCGAAATGAGGGAGAGGTGAGGCGTGTGTAGCCATGCTTGTTTGTTAGCCCAGTTCCAACTAGCTCTGCTGTAGTTTTACGTGTCGGGCTAGTTTGCAGTTCACCTCTTTGATCTTCGGCGCAACAACATGTGTCTCTTACGTTGCGTTGCCTTAGCCTTTACACTCGTCGCCAATGTAATGTTTGTAAGTTAACTCGATGCAGAAAAGACGATATGCATTGTGGAGAGCTTATTTATTATCCGGTCTTTTTAGAGGCCGCAATATCACTGTCATGTATCAAGTACATCCGGTTCCGGTCCAATGCACTGATGCTTTCAAAGTAAAAACACTTGTGTAAAACATCACACTAATAACAAACACATGTCTTTTATTTATTTTACCCCAAGTATTTTAATTATAGACCTTCACAAAAAATTCCTAAAACCAAACTAGAATCAAGTCATTTGGGGCTAGTATTATTATCTTATTTTCAGATCTTTTTCTTTCTTATTGGCAGATCTTTTAAAAAAAAAATTTTTTTTGCATTATTTTACTTAATTTCATATATTTTTCTTATTTTTTTGTCGATTCTTGGGTTTCATATGACGTCAGAGCAGTGGCGCGAATAACAAACGTGGGACCGGACGTGACGTATCCTGGCGGAGCAGTCTGCCGGGTTTATACACGGAGATATAGTAGAAGAAGAAGTGGTTTATACACAGAGATATAGTAGAAGAAGAAGTGGTTTATACACAGAGATATAGTAGAAGAAGAAGTGGTTTATACACAGAGATATAGTAGAAGAAGAAGTGGTTTATACACAGAGATATAGTAGAAGAAGAAGCATCTTTTTGTGCGGTGTACGCTTGTAGCAACCGCACAAATAGAGAAAGACCAGAGTTTGTTCATGTTCCAACTGTGTCTCATATAAAGGAGGACACTTTGGAAAAATCCCTGGAATGAGGCGGAGGTGGATCAAGGCTTTCCCAGATAAGCGCCCCCTGCAGGCCACCACAATGAAACGCAGCCATTTCTTCTGGTTTTTTTTCCAAAAATGCTCAAAACCAAGACTCTTTTGAGAAATATTTGTTAGTACTCCCTTGGAATTGCGTGTCCCCGATTAAGACTGTTCCGACAACCGTACATCGCACAGGAGGAGAGCCTTTGACTCCAAAACAGACTTTACCTGGTTTTCACTGGAGCAACACTGTCCCACCTCTGCTCATGCGCCCCCTACTGGCCAGTTTAAGGAAACCCAAGAATAGACATCTGTTGCCGAAAAAAATCCTCCTTTAAATGTCTACTTTTTTAGTTTCTTTTGTATTGAAAGCACACAATTGTCCTTTACGGAAAAAACATCTCAAAGCAGCAGTAGCAGTGATGTACAAGTGAATCGTTACACCCCCAAAGGCAAACACAGAGATCATCATCGAGAGGTTTCACAAGGTCACAGGTCAAACACGGGTCCACGGCAAAATCATAAAGCTAATGGCAAAAAGCACCACATGGAAAAAACTGTGGCACAGCAACCACCCGACACCACCCGACACCACCCGACACCCCCCAAACACCCCCCCAACACCACCCAACACCACCCAACACCACCCAACACCACCCAACACCACCCAACACCACCCAACACCACCCAACACCACCCAACACCACCCAACACTACCCAACACTACCCAACACTACCCAACACTACCCAACACCCCCAACACCCCCCAACACCCCCCAACACCACCCAACACCACCCAACACCACCCACCCCCCACACCACCCAACACCACCCAACACTACCCAACACTACCCAACACTACCCAACACTACCCAACACCACCCAACACCACCCAACACCACCCAACACCCCCCAACACCACCCAACACCACCCAACACCCCCAACACCACCCAACACCACCCAACACCCCCCAACACCACCCAACACCCCCCACCACCCACCCAACACCACCCAACACCCCCCAACACTACCCAACACCACCCAACACCACCCAACACCACCTAACACTACCCAACACCACCCAACACCACCTAACACCACCTAACACCACCCAACACCATTCAACACCATTCAACTTACACCGGCGCCGAAGCAGAGAGACGGAGGCTCAGCTTTAGCCTTTTAGACCCTTCTCCACCTTTAAGAACTTTTGTCCAGGGGAAAAAAGGCACAAAAACAAAAGATGGGGGAAAATAAAAGACAAATTATATAATGGCGGACAGTGTGAATCCTGCGACAAAACACGGGTTAGACATGAGACGGATTTAAATTATTATTATAGAGATTATTATTAAAGAGATTATTATTATAGAGAGATGGAGAAAAACTATGGACTCTCTGCCTGTCCTATATGTACAGTATATAACTCCTGTCTATATCTACAGTATATAACTCCTGTCTATATGTACAGTATATAACTCCTGTCTATATGTACAGTATATAACTCCTGTCCTATATGTACAGTAAATAACTCCTGTCCTATATGTACAGTATATAACTCCTGCTCTATATGTACAGTATATAACTCCTGTCCTATATGTACAGTATATAACTCTGTCCTATATGTACAGTATATAACTCCTGCTCTATATGTACAGTATATAACTCCTGCTCTATATGTATTTTTCAATACTATCATGAGTTTGTGTTTTCATTTCAAGGTAAATTAAGTGAAATGAGTTTAGTTTATGTCATAGAAACAGGTGTGTACGATAAACATATGATGCCGTTTTAGTAAGAGGTCCACTTTAGCTGAACAGATTTCTCCCGGGGCCCACAACCAAGATTGGAAATTTAAAAAACGGACTCGGATTTTAGTTTGTTCTGTGGATGGAGCTGAAAATTACTGAATGACAAACATGTACTTTCTCACCAGCTACATTAGCGTAGCATACATAGCATTTTGAGACACAATCACATCGAAAAGTTGGACAAACAAAGTCAACAATTGGAATCATGAGGTTCTGAGCTTTACAATAACTTTACAATAAGGTATAAATGGCCTATATTTATATTTGATAATGTCTTTGTAAATACAGATACCAATCCGTTGCCCTCTATCCCCAAATATTGCTTCCTCCCCACACATTTGGCTCCAGATTCCCAAGGAGCTTGTTTGAGTTTAGGCAGACGCTATTGGTGATGCCAGCACTATACTGACAGAGCTGAAGTTGGCTGGATGACGCTGTGACCTTGTGTTTATGATGGTAATGAGTGAACGAGGCAGAAGGCCACGTCACATGACACAGAGGTCCACGATTGGCTCGCGGGCCGGACTTTGGACCTTTAATTCAGGCTCTGGAAGCTCTTTGACAGAATAAAAACACAATTTAAATCGCATTTACACCATACAAAGGCCAAACATTTCATCATGACTTAGTTAGGCTCAGGATGAGTTGGTTTTAAGCTTTGCCGCCTGGACCCAGGTTAAAGTAGACAGACTGTTCAAAAGATATAAATATAATCAGATCCGAGACTGAATCAACCCTAAAATGGGCAAACCTGCAGGAATCAATAGAAAATGCATTCCCTGTAAAAACTGAAAATATAGACAAGTGTAGTTCACTTAATTCTAATGTTTTTATCAAATCACATCGTTTGGTTTTGCCTGTTTTTACTCATGCAGCTGAAAATACTTAAGATAATGTAACTTGTTATTCATATTTTTCTTCTTGTTACGTTTAAAGTGGAACAATCATGACCCACTGACAGATACATTTCCTCTAATAGTATTTTTCTTGTTATATATTTTTTTGAGCCACTTCTTGCAGTGTTGTGTTATGGGCATCAGTCCTCGTTCTACAGTCTGAGTCGTGGATCTACAGCCCGTCCCGCTCTCAAAATGGTTCTCCTCGAGGTTTCTCACTCTTTCGCACTGTATTTTTGAGTCGTTCCTTTGCTGATACAGGAGGGTGCAAGGACAATGATGATCTTTATAATAATAATAATAATAATAATGCATTGGTTTTATACAGCTGTGGCACCTGCTGGTCCCAGAGGTTAAGTGTCTTGCCCAAGGACACAAGGACAGCAGACAGTGGGAGTCGATGGTGAAAGTCGGGCTCCAACCCACGCCCCTCAAAGGCCAATGCTCTACAACTGAGCTACTGTCGCCCTGTGTATCTTGGACATTTATTAACATATATAAACATTTATTAACATTTGGACATTGGTCTCCACACTCAGAGTGGACCAATGGCTCTTATTTGTTTGTTATTATTATTATTATTATTATCTTTTTCTGTTGCTGTCCCCAAACCTCAGAACATTAGAGCAGCTGCTTCATTGCAGGTTTTTAAATCTAGTCTAAAATCACGCCTTGGCTTTTAACACCAATTGAGTTTGATCATTTTGCTTTTTACATGTATTAGTGTGAATTTTATGCTGTTTTTTTTTGTTTTTTTTTATCTTTCGTGCCAGCTGTGGTTGTAAATGTGCCATACTAATAAAGCTGACATCACTCAGTAGCAGGTGACACTTTTTAAATGTTTTTTAATCTGTTTTATTGTTTTTAATGTATAAATGTTTTAAATAGATTTTATGTAATTTTATTGTGAAGCACTTTGGTCGCCTTGAGTGTTGTAAAGGGCTCTATAAATAAAATGTATTGATTGATTGATTGACATTGACATATTTATTTTCCTGTTTTCAAACTGTGGGATTCTCTGATCTGAAAAGTCCTGTAAAGATGAATTTAATCTGTAAATATAATCTGAAAGTGTCGCACTGGTCCTTCTCTAATGCCTCTCATACAGTACTTCTGTCTCATGAGCTTGTTGAACTGTTTCTCGCTCATGTTGTTAAAGTAAACTTAATTAACACATCCTTCACACCGTTTCAGACTGTGATGGTGCAAAAATAGCAGTGCTTCTAACAGCGCCGGTCGTGGTAATGACTCCGCGGACACTCGTTAAACTTAATCTACTGTGTCCTCATCCACTCCTGCCTTTGTTAGCCCCAAGTTACTGCCTGTCCAGCTGTCAATCACTCTGCTCCACTGAAGGAGGCCACACCACCAGAGTTTAGGATTTACTGTAGCTGAAGGAAAAGGAAGGACTTATTATTAAACAATTAGACAAATGCAGATTTGGATCAGATCGATCAGCAAGAAATGAAAGCTGGGACCATTTTGAAGTAGTAGTAGAGCAGTAGTAGTAGTAGTAGTACTAAAAAGGTACGGGTTATTTGTCTGTTATATTGATATATGTAAAAATGTTTATTGTGCAGGTTCAAAAAATAAGTAGTAGTAGTAGCAGTAGCAGCAGTAGTAGTGGTAGTAGTAGTAGTAGTAGTAGTAGTAGTAGCTTTAGTCGTAGTAGTAGCAGTAGTAGCAGTAGCAGTAGTAGTAGTAGTAGTAGTAGCAGTAGTAGCAGTAGTAGTAGTAGAAGCAGTAGTAGTAGTAGTAGCAGTAGTAGTAGTAGTAGCAGCAGAAGTAGCAGTAGTAGTAGTAGTAGTAGTAGTAGTAGTAGTAGTAGCAACAGCAGTAGTAGTAGTAGTAGTAGCAGCAGCAGTAGTAGCAGTAGTATTAGTAGTAGCAGTAGTAGTAGCAACAGCAGTAGTAGTAGTAGTAGCAGTAGTAGTAGTAGCAGTAGTAGCAGTAGCAGTAGTAGCAGCAGTAGCAGTAGTAGTAGTAGTAGCAGCAGTAGTAGTAGTAGTAGTAGCAATAGCAGTAGTAGTAGTAATAGTAGTAGTAGTAGTAGTAGTAGTAGTAGCAACAGCAGTAGTAGTAGTAGTAGCAGCAGCAGTAGTAGCAGTAGTAGTAGTAGTAGCAGTAGTAGTAGTAGTAGTAGTAGTAGCAACAGCAGTAGTAGTAGTAGTAGTAGTAGCAGTAGCAGCAGCAGTAGTAGCATTCTTAAAATATGACAACATTTAAAGTAAAATCAATAATTTTCTCTCCGTTCCCAAATAAAACGAAACACATTCTTATTTACAGATAGTTTTTGGAGAATCCGTCTCTTTGGCATTAGTCCCTAAACAAGACCGCAGCCATTCACCGTAATAACCTCTGTACGAACCACAGTAGGATGTATTTGGTGTTGTACTTCTGGACTCACCGGTCTCAGTACGGCCGGTTGGCGTCCTTGGGCCTCTTGAGCTGCACCTTCAGCCTCTTCATCCCGATCTGGAAGCCGTTCATGGCCTGGATGGCGGTCTGGGCGCTGGACGGGTTGTCGAAACTCACAAACCCTAAACACACAGAAAGTAGTAAAGTGTCAAATGTGCCAAAACTGAGGTAAGCTACAGCAACAGGTCTGAGAAAGAGGTGGATAAGTTCTTCATCAGTCCCTTCCCTAAAGCTGGGGTACCTAACTTTTAAACGTAAAAGATAAAAGGTCCATGAGCACGTGCGCTGACATGGTTGCAATCTCACCCCTTGCTGGTGGGGGTGTACCCGGAAACAGAATTACCCGATGCTTTTGTATGGCGTCTTCTTTCCTCACGAAAACCTCTTTACAGGATGGTTCCAGACACTGTCTATGCTGAGGTTAGTATATTTTTTGGGACCAGTCTAGTTTAGCTGCTGTGGACTTTAGAATGCACTCGGTAAATGAATGAGGCTAGTGCCAGAAAAGCCAAAAGTGGTGGCACATTCATTTCAACAGCGCAGATCTGTCTATCTATCTATCTATCTATCTATCTATCTATCTACGTATCTATCTATCTATCTATCTACGTATCTATCTATCTATCTATCTATCTATCTATCTATCTATCTATCTATCTATCTATCTATCTATCTATCTATCTATCTATCTATCTATCTATCTATCTGCGTTTCTATCTATCTATCTGCGTATCTATCTATCTATCTATCTATCTATCTATCTATCTATCTATCTACGTATCTATCTATCTATCTATCTACGTATCTATCTATCTATCTATCTACGTATCTATCTATCTATCTATCTATCTATCTGCGTTTCTATATCTATCTATCTATCTATCTACGTATCTATCTATCTATCTGCGTATCTATCTATCTATCTGCGTATCTATCTATCTATCTATCTACGTATCTATCTATCTATCTATCGTATCTATCTATCTATCTATCTATCTATCTACGTATCTATCTATCTATCTCTATCTATCTATCTACGTATCTATCTATCTATCTATCTACGTATCTATCTATCTATCTACGTATCTATCTATCTACGTATCTATCTATCTACGTATCTATCTATCTATCTATCTACGTATCTATCTATATCTATCTATCTACGTATCTATCTATCTGCGTTTCTATCTATCTATCTATCTGCGTATCTATCTATCTATCTATCTATCTATCTATCTATCTGCGTATCTATCTATCTATCTACGTATCTATCTATCTATCTATCTACGTATCTATCTATCTATCTATCTACTATCTACGTATCTACGTATCTATCTATCTACGTATCTATCTATCTACGTATCTATCTATCTATCTATCTACGTATCTATCTATCTATCTGCGTATCTATCTATCTATCTGCGTATCTATCTATCTATCTATCTACGTATCTATCTATCTATCTACGTATCTATCTATCTATCTACGTATCTATCTATCTACGTATCTATCTATCTATCTGCGTATCTATCTATCTATCTATCTACGTATCTATCTATCTATCTATCTACGTATCTATCTATCTATCTACGTATCTATCTATCTACGTATCTATCTATCTACGTATCTATCTATCTATCTATCTACGTATCTATCTATCTATCTATCTACGTATCTATCTATCTATCTATCTATGTATCTATCTATCTATCTATGTATCTATCTATCTATCTATCTATCTATCTATCTACGTATCTATCTATCTATCTTTCTATCTATCTATCTACGTATCTATCCATCCATCCATCCATCACTCACCGAAACACTTGCTCTGGTTTGTGGCTCGGTCGACGAACACTTTTGCCGAGATGACGTTTCCAAACGGCAGAAACATCTGGAGGATCTCGGAGTCGGTGAACTCCTGCGGCAGGTGGTAAATGAAGATGTTACAGCCCTCGGGACCTGCAGGACACAACATGGACCGTTAGTGAGACCATGTGACTGAATCTGAGATCTGTGATTGGTTCTGTATTTTAAATATTGTAAATAACTGAAAACAAACTACAAAAACACCTGTAAATATATATAAGAGAGTAAATATATGTGTGTATGTAACAAAAGTGGCAGATCTTGTAAGTTCCTCTTCTCTGCGTTTCATTCAGACTGTATGATACTCCCGTTGTTGTTGTTGTCACTATGAAGTAAATTAAAAAAATAAAATAAATGGTCCTTTGTTGTTTTCGTCTTCTGCATTTTCAGACAGACAATAGAATTAGACAAAACAAAATGGACTTTTCCGACTGATTCATGAATGTTCGAGTATTTTTCATTCTCACAGCTAGAAATACGATTCAATTTGATTCAATTAATTCTTTTATCGCCCTGAATCACAACAGTCGCCTCCGAGACTTCACAAAACTGCAGTAATCATTTCTGTCTTCAAATGTATGAACACAAGACACAATAAACAGGATGCAAAAGTGTGTGTGTGTGTGTGTGTGTGTGATGTGTGTGTGTGCGAGGGATGTGTGTGTGTGTGTGTGTGTGAGGGATGTGTGTGATGTGTGTGTGTGCGAGGGATGTGTGTGTGTGTGATGTGTGTGTGTGCGAGGGATGTGTGTGTGTGTGTGCGAGGGATGTGTGTGTGTGTGATGTGTGTGTGTGCGAGGGATGTGTGTGTGTGTGTGTGTATGTATGATGGGTGCGTGTGCGTGTGTGTGTGCGCGTGTCTCTGTATGTGTGTGTGTGTGTATCTGTGTGTGTGTGTGTCTGTGTGTGTCTGTGTGTGTGTGCGTGTGTATGTGTGTGTGAGAGTGTGTGCATGTATGATGTGTGTGTGTCTCTGTGTGTGCGTGTCTCTGTATGTGTGTGTGTGTGTCTCTGTGTGTGTGTCTGTGTGTGGTCGAACCCCCCCTGCGGCTCTATCACCTTTTTGACCCAGTTAATCTCGACCTACATAACATCCGCCGCTTTCTGCTCTAAACTCAGACAAAAATAGATAAAAAGCTGATCATTTCATTTGATAATTATGATTTTAATAAATAATATAAGGTTTGTGCACAAAGGCGACAAAAACACTGATTTGAGGAACAAAACATACACAAACAACTTAACTCTTTCCCACACTAGAGTAAAAGTAACTGTCCCAGGTTATGTGTGTCTATGGTTCCAATGGAGGTGTGTGGTCAGAGAGTGTTGGGGCCTGTGTCTTGATGTGTCCAGTGTGTGTGTGTGTGAGTGCGTGTGTATTGGGTTGTGTGTGTGTGTGTGTACTTGATGTGTCCAGTGTGTGTGTGTGTGAGTGCGTGTGTATTGGGTTGTGTGTGTGTGTGTGTACTTGATGTGTGTTGTGTTGCGTGTGTGATTTAGTGTGTTGTGTTGCGTGTGTGATTTAGTGTGTTGTGTTGCGTGTGTGTGTACCTGATGTGTGTTGTGTTGCGTGTGTGTGATAGTGTGTATTGTGTTGCATGTAAGTGATAGTGTGTATTGTGTTGCATGTGTGTGATAGTGTGTATTGTGTTGCATGTGTGTGATAGTGTGTATTGTGTTGCATGTGTGTGATAGTGTGTATTGTGTTGCATGTGTGTGATAGTGTGTATTGTGTTGCGTGTGTGTGATAGTGTGTATTGTGTTGCGTGTGTGTGATAGTGTTTATTGTGATGCGTGTGTGTGTGTGTACCTGATGTGTGTTGTGTTGCGTGTGTGTGATAGTGTGTATCGTGTTGAGTATGTGTGTGATTGTGTGTGTGTACCTGATGTGTGTTGTGTGTCTGTGTGAATGATTTTTGTGTGTGTGTGAATGATTGTTGAGTGTGTGTGACAGTGTGGGGTGTGTTGAGTGTGTGTGATAGTGTGTATTGTGTTGAGTGTGTGTGTGATTGTGTGTGTACCTGATGTGTATTGTGTTGCATGTGTGTGTGAATGATTGTTGTGTGTGTGTGTGACAGTGTGAGGTGTGAGATCCGGGGTTGGAGCTAAAAAGTCGCTCCTGCAGCTTCTTTTTCAAACGGTTTATTTGTTTATTTTGTGTCTTGCTTCATGTTTTATTGTTTTCTTTTGTTTCAAAACTTTTTTGCATAAAGTTTGAAAGAAATACTTATTTGTTATCAACTTAAAAGTGTAAAATGTATTGTTGTTGAAAAATAGACGATTTAAGGGCGTAAACAAAATTTTACCATTTCATTTTGGCAATTAACAAAACATGTGTCTATCTATTCATCTATGTACTACTATCTGAAGTAGAAGCATAGCTAACCACATTGAATGACTTAACTAACTTTAGAAGCATGGCTATCACTTCAAACTTTACGCAGTGTTGTCATTTACAAAGTCATAACAAAACAGAAGAAGTCAAAAGATATTTGAAAGTAAAAAGTAGTCAGAAAACATAAAAGTACTCAGTTCCTCTCCAGCTCAGTCTTGTGTGAAGTATGTTTGTGTAGTTTTGAGTTCTCTCGTGTCTCTCTGCTGCCCCCTGGTGTCCGGTGGTACACTCACCCTCTCGCTGCTGCAGCTGCTGCGGCTGCTGCGGCTGCTGTGCCACCAGAGTGGGCTGATGAGGGAAGGGCTGCCCCACCAGGCCGTAGGCTGCGGGGTACGTGGCTGCGGAGGGAGACACCATGAGCCGCGGGTTCGACTCCGTGGAATATAAACGTTTGCATTGATTTATATGGATTATTATTCAGAGCAATAACACTGTCCACATTTATCTTCCTGAGAGTGAGAGGATGTGATGCGATCCTTTCTCTTGAAATGTGAGTTATGAAAGTGATTCTAAATGTTGAATAAATTATTATAAATGTAACCACAGGTATGTCATAAGATAAGATAAGATAAACCTTTATTAGTCTCACAGTGGAGACATTTCAGTGTAATCGTTGCACATTACAGCAGAGAAAGGAAATAAGAGCACTCAGATTGCACACATCAAAGTCTATTATTTAAGATAATAGGCAATACATTTAAGATAAAATAAAATAAAATAAGAAAAAACCCATGTAGTTCCTCGCTCGACAGTAAAACATTTATTTTTTGGTAAAAGTAAATCCTAAATCTCAGTCCAAAGCATCAAATAGTGACTTGCAGGGAAGTATGTAAGATAAAAAAATATTCAAACAAGATGAAGACACCATGTTCTGATCTGATCTGCTCACAATAACAATAATAATAAAAATAATGCATTTTGCACAAAAGTAACTCTTACTGTAAACGCAGGGACCCCAGCTTTAAACAGATGTGATCGATTAAAGGAACAAGCTAACACATTATTTGTTTTTTTTAGAATATTTACTTCAGTATTTCATGTTGTAGGATTTGAAATCATTTGTTAAGTCAAAAGCAAATAGATTCTGTGTCTAAAGGAAGTAAAGTGGCAAAAAACATTACTTCATTTCTTATACTACAAAACTACACTGCAAAAAGTGATGAAAAAGTCAAAGATTGTTTAAGAAATAACTAAATAATACTTTAAATGTATGTTTTTAAACTAGAATCAAGTCGTTTGGGGCTAGCATCATTATTATTATTATTATTATTGTCACGTCATATTTTCTTCTTAGAATATTTTTATTATTTTAAGCAGTTTTTTACTTATTTTAATTTTTTTTTTTCAAGGGATTATTTTCAGTGTGAAGTTGATATTTCGGTGAATGGCCCTAAAAACAAACATGGTTAAAACCAAAACACACATTAATGTCTCACACAAGTCAAAATATATTAGTGATATGTTAGTCCCATATGAACCAGCCCGGACTCTGAGGAGCACAGGGACTGGACTCCTGCTGGGACTCTGAGGAGCACAGGGACTGGCCTCCTGCTGGGACTCTGAGGAGCACAGGGACTGGCCTCCTGCTGGGACTCTGAGGAGCACAGGGACTGGCCTCCTGCTGGGACTCTGAGGAGCACAGGGACAGGCCTCCTGCTGGGACTCTGAGGAGCACAGGGACTGGACTCCTGCTGGGACTCTGAGGAGCACAGGGACAGGCCTCCTGCTGGGACTCTGAGGAGCACAGGGACTGGACTCCTGTTAGTGCCCAGAGTCAGGACTAAACATGGGGAGGCTGCTTTTCAGATTCATGCTGCTAAAATCTGGAACAATCTTCCTGAAGATGTGAGACAGGCCTCCTCTCTGACAATGTTTAAAACCAGGTTAAAGACAGATCTGTTTAGCTGTGCTACAACTGAGGGATTTTATATTTTTATCTTTCTTTTTAATGTCATGTAAAGCCTTAAACAGATCAGGGATGTTATGTTCACAGTAAAATCTGTGGCGAGTTTCTCTGAGATTCTCTGCTTCACACTTGCAGCGTGAGAAAGACGCCGTTACATAACGCCTCTTTACACCGGGAACACAATTACACCATTGTTTTATATTCCAGAAACAGTGAAGGCAGTTTACTTAAGACACACACACTACACACTTCTGTCTTTGGTGAGATCAATAAAGTTATCTGATATTACTGAAAAACCTTGAATTGGAGTTTAAATGTTTTGTTTTACTGTATCAGAAGTACTGGTGTTATTATTTTGAGGTAACATAAAACATTGAGATATAAATTACAGTTTGAGTATTTATGTAATTGTCCAGTGTGAGATCAATAAAGTTATCTTCTCTGATCTTATCTTTATTAATAATCAGTGATAAAGTAAGTAAGTAAGTAAGTAATCTTTATTTATATATGGCCTTTCTCAGACCAGAGTCAAAGCGGTTTACAATTGTGGGCATCAGTCTGTCACTCACACAGATGGGAGGGGCCAGGAGGCACAGACCTATTGTCCAACTTTTTAGTGGTAGGGGAAACCGGAGCACCTGGAGGAAACCTACGCAGACACGGGGAGAACATGCAAACTCCACTCAGAGAAGCCCTGGTCCAACCGGGATTCGAACCCGGTTGGACTGAGAAGCAAAAGTGCTAACCACTGAGAAGCAAAAGTGCTAACCACTGAGAAGCAAAAGTGCTAACCACTCAGCCCCCGTGCCGCAACAAATGGTATATTTTACTTGTAGAAAAACACACATTTTAAAAAACTGTCATTGGATCTTTGATATTTCTGTCTTTAAAGGTGTATAGGAGGATTTTCTACTTCTACAAGACTATTGGTCTTCTTAACTGTCAATCATTCTGCTGATAGGTGCTCGTCCAATAAGAGTTTTGAGGGCGGTTCTTTCCTAAAATTTGGAAAATCCTTCTTTAAACCTTTAAAATCTGTGAATTTGTATTTTATACCAGTTCTGGTTTGGGCCATAGACTGTACGGAGATGGACAACGCTAACCCACTAGTTTAATGAAGCCCCATAGGGAAGTGCTCGTGGATGAAGTTTTGCTTCAACTCGCTCTGGCTCCAAATGACATTTTTGATTGATTCATTAATTTGAGCAGAAATGTTACATTCATAAGTATTTAAACCATTCCTTAGTTTACACGACCTTTTATACATGTTTCCTTCTGTGCTTACAGTATATTATTACACACAGTATGTACTTAAACATGCAAATATATAAACATAAACATAAAACAAGCAGCAGTATTTGCCCCAGTTTCACCATGTGTCGTATATTTACTTTTTGAATTTGTATCTGCACAAATAAATGTACAAATACATTTCTATTTACAATTTGTCAGCTCAGAATGGAGAAAGAAGTAAAAACTTGCAGATTCCTAAAAACATAAATCAAATACATGCAAGAATTTACATATTTAGCTTCGAATGAACTTGAAAAGTAAACTTCCTGAAGCTCAGTAACTTAAAAACGTCGGTGGTAAATTCCTCTCAATTCACTTCTATGTATTTTTGTGCCGCCCTAAATCACAACAGCAGTGATCTCGGAGAAACTGTGGATTCGCCGACACAGATCAGAGAATCAAACCGATCAAACACAAGAAATGCAGTGATAACGAACACATAGAGTCATTGGTTCATAAGTTAGAGTTAGAAATGTCCATAAATGTGGAAGAAGTCCATAAATATCCTGTTTTTTATACTTTTGATAATGGCCAGATACGAGTCATAAGCATTGACCAATCAGAGGCCTTCATTCGTGAGGGAAACTCCAGCTAGCAACGTGCCCCTGTTATGACGTGAAGCTAACCCGACAAACGCCCATATAAGGAATTTGGCTCCTGCTAGCTTATGTTTTAACCCCCTTTGACAACCTCTACAAGTCCTCTCCTAATTTACAATGGTTTGAACCCAGATTTGAAGTCTCGGGTCAAAATACTGTCTTTTCTTCTTCTACAAATCCAGAATAAGGATTCGGTTTGCTCGGACCTCACCTGTGTAGTGCTGCATGCCTGTGTACGCCTGTTGCAGAGGGTCCAGGACCGGACTCTGAGCTGAGGAGAAAACAACAGAATGAATGAGCAAAGTCTGTGAATCCAAAATCCCTAAAAAACAGAGAGAAAACATTTGCATTTGTAAGAACTTAGTAATTATGTCTGTTCCCATCACGACGATACAGACTAACAGCTGGAACCATATATTATTTGTCTCTGTTTTCTTTGCAGTAACAGAAAGATGTTATTTGTATTTCTAAAACTCACTCCATCTACTCAGGCTTTCTAATGATACTGTGCAAGAAAAATAAGACTTTAAAAAAAAAATATTTTGCTTATTATTGAGACAAGACTAGCCATCATTTCTTAATAACATTTTGCTTACATCTTAGAGAGATTAAATATTGTTGTTGGATAGATGGAAAAAGGTAGCAAGTTTACTTTTGGCTTGTGTAATTCTATCCTGGCCTTACCACACCATTGTACTCAGTTCATTTCATACTAAGGTCTGGATTGTCTCCATTGACTCCGTTAATAGGTGGGAGGGGCTAACTCCTTTTGCAGATTGAAACCATTGGATCTGAGTTTATCGTCACGTATGTAATGAGCCCGAGTGAGTGAGGCATTTAGCATTTAGCCTAGCTTTAGCATGTAGCCTAGCTTTAGCATTTAGCCTAGCTTTAGCCATCTCCTTTGCCGCTAACAGAGCCCGTGGGGAGTAGAGCCACAACATCTGTGCTTCAATGACATTTACTAAACATTCCTCTTGCTCCGGCTTCAGTTTCTTGATATTTGGATTGAACCAGAACAGATTATTTTACTATCACATTCTCCATGGACCAGAGTTTACACATGGTAAGACCAGGCGTACATGTAGGAAATGACCATGGTCCAGAGTTTACACATGGTAAGACCAGGCGTACATGTAGGAAATGACCATGGTCCAGAGTTTACACATGGTAAGACCAGGATAGACTCTTTTAGTTTTACACCTGATAAAGCCGTGATGAATATTGTTATATAAAACAGGTGCATAATACTGTTGTACATGTCTATAGTGGCAAGGGAAACCGGAGTACCTGGAGGAAACCTACACAGACACAGGGAGAGCACACAGAGAGGCCCTGTCCGGAGCCCTTTCAGAATCAGGTACCCCAGCTCTAGCTCAGTACCTTGGTAGGCGTGGACCCCGTTGGTGTACAGGGCCTCTGTGGCGGACTGGCCATTAGGGGGCGCTGCAGTGTAGCTGTTGACGGCGATGGAAGGAGGCAGCGCGGGGACAGGTGTGCCTGCGATCGAGGGAGGAGTGCTGGTACCTGCACGGAACAAACACAACATCTCAATCTGGAAATGACTGAGAAGGAGAGATAGAAAACAGAAATGAATAAATATATAAATTAGGGCTGGGAAAATGTTCTTGCGTCAGATTTTTGTCCATAGATTTTTTGTTTAAAACTTTAAAAACGGCCGGTGTTGGCTCCTCAAGAGGACAGAAAATCACTTAGTCGATACTAAAAATAGAATGAAAAATATATGAACTAATTTGAGCAAGTATGAAATTAAAATGACATTTCTTGATTTGTTTTTATTTTTTTTAACTGTATTAGAAGAATTGGCTGCATATTGAGTATTATTATTTTGAGGTAAAAAATTACAGTTTGAATATTGATAAATAAATGTGTGGACTCTGTGGTCTCTCTCTAGTCTCTTTCTGGTCTCTCTCTGCTCTCTCTCTGGTCTCTCTCTGCTCTCTCTCTGGTCTCTCTCTGGTCTCTCTCTCTGGTCTCTCTGGTCTCTCTCTGGTCTCTCTCTCTAGTCTCTTTCTCTCTGGTCTCTCTCTTTGGTCTCTCTCTGGTCTCTCTCTCTAGTCTCTCTCTGGTCTCTCTCTCTAGTCTCTCTCTGGTCTCTCTCTCTGGTCTCTCTCTGGTCTCTCTCTCTGGTCTCTCTCTGGTCTCTCTCTCTGGTCTCTCTCTCTAGTCTCTCTCTGGTCTCTCTCTCTGGTCTCTCTCTGGTCTCTCTCTCTGGTCTCTCTCTCTAGTCTCTCTCTGGTCTCTCTCTCTGGTCTCTCTCTGGTCTCTCTCTGGTCTCTCTCTCTGGTCTCTCTCTGGTCTCTCTCTCTGGTCTCTCTCTCTGGTCTCTCTCTGGTCTCTCTCTCTGGTCTCTCTCTGGTCTCTCTCTGGTCTCTCTCTCTGGTCTCTCTCTGGTCTCTCTCTCTGGTCTCTCTCTCTGGTCTCTCTCTGGTCTCTCTCTCTGGTCTCTCTTAGTATTTACAGATTCAAACATTGCGACAGATGCACAGATGCTGCTTTGGAGAAGGCAGTGTTTCTCAACCTGTGGGCCGTGGGACCTCAGTGGGCCTTGAGATGTTGTTTGGAAATGACAATTAAATCACAAAATCGGTCAAAATAATGAGAAAATAAAAATAAAAAGATTAGAAAGACTTATTTGTGCTTATTTGCTTTCCTGCATATTTGTGACGATAGTTTCAGACTCAGCCGATGGTTTGTCGTATGATTATTTTAATGCATTTTTTTTACCCACGGCTCAAAAAGGTTGAAAAACACTAAAATAAAAATACAAAAATACTTATTATTTCCTGCTTTTAAATATATCGTCTCCAAATGAAAGAGCCCTGCATGTGTATCAACCGCACACTGTAAAAAACACCCAGCCCTGTTTAGTTCATGCAGTTTTATACTCATTTAACTTCATGCATTACTAGCTCTACACATTCTCCAAACTGAACACACAAAATACAGTCTCAAAACCACATTCAGTGCCTTTACTTCCAAATTTATCATCTTTTCTGCATTCAATTGGTTGTATAGTAAAAGCACTTAAATGCGATTTATTTCTGTCTCTTTTTGCTTATATTATGAATACATTTTTTAACGTTTTTTATAGATTCCCGGCCCTAAAATAGATAAATAGATAAACAGACTTTCGCACATCAACACAAGCTGTACATATGGTCATAACAGGTGACTCTCAACAAGGGAAAGATAAAAACTGCGCAAATCACCTGAAAGGAATGACAACATTTGACTTCCTCCTGTGCCTAAAGATAATGAGAATAATAATGTTTGTTTAGATGGGAGCAGTTCACACAAATAAGTCTGTGCAGGAGACTTGAACATATAGAACAAACTATGAATCCTAAATATGAAACATGACATTTTAGACATTTTCTTCCCCAAAAAAATGGTTATTCTAAAAAAAAAAAAGAGGTGGGAAAAACCTTTGGCAAAAAAACCTTCTCTCTTTGGTCTCTCTCTGGTCTCTCTCTGGTCTCTCTCTGGTCTCTCTCTCTGGTCTCTCTCTCTGGTCTCTCTCTGCTCTCTCTCTGGTCTCTCTCTGGTCTCTCTCTTTGGTCTCTCTTTGGTCTCTCTTTGGTCTCTCTCTGGTCTATCTCTTTGGTCTCTCTTTGGTCTCTCTTTGGTCTCTCTCTTTGGTCTCTCTTTGGTCTCTCTTTGGTATCTCTGGTCTCTCTCTGGTCTCTCTCTTTGGTCTCTCTTTGGTCTCTCTCTGCTCTCTCTCTGGTCTCTCTCTTTGGTCTCTCTTTGGTCTCTCTGGTCTCTCTCTGGTCTCTCTCTGGTCTCTCTCTGGTCTATCTCTCTGGTCTCTCTCTTGTCTCTCTCTGGTCTCTCTGGTCTCTCTCTGGTCTCTCTCTGTTCTCTCTCTGGTCTCTCTCTGGTCTCTCTCTGGTCTCTCTCTCTGGCCTCTTTCTCTGGTTTCTCTCTGGTCTCTCTCTGGTGTCTCTCTCTGGTCTCTTTCTCTGGTCTCTCTCTGGTCTCTCTCTGGTCTCTCTCTGGTCCCTGTTTTTTTCTTTGGTCTCTCTGGTCTCTCTCTTTTGTCTCTCTTTTGTCTCTCTCTGGTCTCTCTGGTCTCTCTCTGGTCTCTCTCTGCTCTCTCTCTGCTCTCTCTCTGGTCTCTCTCTGGTCTCTCTCTGGTCTCTCTCTGGTCTCTCTCTCTGGTCTCTTTCTCTGGTCTCTCTCTGGTCCCTGTTTTTTTCTTTGGTCTCTCTGGTCTCTCTCTTTTGTCTCTCTTTGGTCTCTCTCTGGTCTCTCTGGTCTCTCTCTGGTCTCTCTCTGGTCTCTCTTGTCTCTCTCTGCTCTCTCTCTGGTCTCTCTCTCTCTCTCTGGTCTCTTTCTCTGGTCTCTCTCTGGTCTCTCTCTGGTCTCTCTCTGGTCTCTCTCTGGTCTCTCTCTCTGGTCTCTTTCTCTGGTCTCTCTCTGCTCTCTCTCTGCTCTCTCTCTGGTCTCTCTCTGGTCTCTCTCTGGTCTCTCTCTGGTCTCTCTCTCTGGTCTCTTTCTCTGGTCTCTCTCTGCTCTCTCTCTGGTCTCTCTCTGGTCCCTGTTTTTTGAGAGTCTAAATAAAATCCCACACATGGTCTTTAACCCGATTTCATCACATGGTGCTTGAAGCTTGTAGAAAAAGGAAATAAAATTCAGCCATAATCGGATTCTTCTTCATGTAACTCGTTTTTCCAGAGTAAATGTCGACGCCCACCTCAAAACAAATGAAATCTAAAAATGTATGTTTTCTGAAGCTGCTCATATTTTACACCAGAATCTAATCATTAGTGTTTTTCACCTGAGGAGGGCGTGATGGAGGCGATGGGCGTGGCGATGATGCTGCTGGGGTTGAGCGCCGCGAGCTGCTGCATCTGCACGGCGGCGACGGTTGCCACGGGCGACAGGTAGGCAGACTGAGCCACCAACGCCTGCTGCTGCATCAACTGAGGGCAGAGGGAGGTATGCAGTCACACCGGCACTTTATAGACTGGAGAGGTATGCAGTCACACCGGCACTTTATAGACTGGAGAGGTATGCAGTCACACCGGCACTTTATAGACTGGAGAGGTATGCAGTCACACCGGCACTTTATAGACTGGAGAGGTATGCAGTCACAGCGGCACTTCATAGACTGGTGAGGTATGCAGTCACACCGGCACTTTATAGACTGGAAAGGTATGCAGTCACACCGGCACTTTATAGACTGGAGAGGTATGCAGTCACACAGGCACTTTATAGAGACTGGACAGGTATGCAGTCACACAGACACTTTATAGACTGGAGAGGTATGCAGTCACACAGACACTTTATAGACTGGAGAGGTATGCAGTCACACCGGCACTTTATAGACTGGAGAGGTATGCAGTCACACTGGCACTTTATAGACTGGAGAGGTATGCAGTCACACAGGCACTTTATAGAGACTGGACAGGTATGCAGTCACACAGACACTTTATAGACTGGTGAGGTATGCAGTCACACAGACACTTTATAGACTGGAGAGGTATGCAGTCACACCGGCACTTTATAGACTGGAGAGGTATGCAGTCACACCGGCACTTTATAGACTGGAGAGGTATGCAGTCACACAGGCACTTTATAGACTGGAGAGGTATGCAGTCACACCGGCACTTTATAGACTAGTGAGGTATGCAGTCACACCGGCACTTTATAGACTGGTGAGGTATGCAGTCACACAGGCACTTTATAGACTAGTGAGGTATGCAGTCACACCGGCACTTTATAGACTGGAGAGGTATGCAGTCACACCGGCACTTTATAGACTGGTGAGGTATGCAGTCACACAGGCACTTTATAGAGACTGGTGAGGTATGCAGTCACACCGGCACTTTATAGACTGGTGAGGTATGCAGTCACACAGGCACTTTATAGACTGGTGAGGTATGCAGTCACACCGGCACTTTATAGAGTGAAGAGGTATGCAGTCACACCGGCACTTTATAGACTGGAGAGGTATGCAGTCACACCGGCACTTTATAGACTGGTGAGGTATGCAGTCACACCGGCACTTTATAGACTGGAGAGGTATGCAGTCACACAGGCACTTTATAGACTGGTGAGGTATGCAGTCACACAAGCACTTAATAGACTGGTGAGGTATGCAGTCACACCGGCACTTTATAGAGTGAAGAGGTATGCAGTCACACCGGCACTTTATAGACTGGAGAGGTATGCAGTCCCACCGGCACTTTATAGACTGGTGAGGTATGCATAGTCACACCGGCACTTTATAGAAACTGGTGAGGTATGCAGTCACACCGGCACTTTATAGACTGGTGAGGTATGCAGTCACACCGGCACTTTATAGACTGGTGAGGTATGCAGTCACACCAGCACTTTATAGACTGGTGAGGTATGCAGTCACACAGGCACTTTATAGACTGGTGAGGTATGCAGTCACACCGGCACTTTATAGAGTGAAGAGGTATGCAGTCCCACCGGCACTTTATAGACTGGTGAGGTATGCATAGTCACACCGGCACTTTATAGAAACTGGTGAGGTATGCAGTCACACCGGCACTTTATAGACTGGTGAGGTATGCAGTCACACCGGCACTTTATAGACTGGTGAGGTATGCAGTCACACCAGCACTTTATAGACTGGTGAGGTATGCAGTCACACAGGCACTTTATAGACTGGTGAGGTATGCAGTCACACCGGCACTTTATAGAGTGAAGAGGTATTGCAGTCACACCGGCACTTTATAGACTGGAGAGGTATGCAGTCACACCGGCACTTTATAGACTGGTGAGGTATGCAGTCACACCGGCACTTTATAGACTGGAGAGGTATGCAGTCACACAGGCACTTTATAGACTGGTGAGGTATGCAGTCACACAAGCACTTAATAGACTGGAGAGGTATGCAGTCACACCGGCACTTTATAGAGTGAAGAGGTATGCAGTCACACCGGCACTTTATAGACTGGAGAGGTATGCAGTCACACCGGCACTTTATAGACTGGTGAGGTATGCATAGTCACACCGGCACTTTATAGAAACTGGTGAGGTATGCAGTCACACCGGCACTTTATAGACTGGTGAGGTATGCAGTCACACCGGCACTTTATAGACTGGTGAGGTATGCAGTCCACCAGCACTTTATAGACTGGAGAGGTATGCAGTCACACCAGCACTTTATAGACTGGAGAGGTATGCAGTCACACCGGCACTTTATAGACTGGAGAGGTATGCAGTCACACCGGCACTTTATAGACTGGTGAGGTATGCATAGTCACACCGGCACTTTATAGAAACTGGTGAGGTATGCAGTCACACCGGCACTTTATAGACTGGTGAGGTATGCAGTCACACCGGCACTTTATAGACTGGTGAGGTATGCAGTCACACCGGCACTTTATAGACTGGAGAGGTATGCAGTCACACAGGCACTTTATAGACTGGTGAGGTATGCAGTCACACAAGCACTTAATAGACTGGTGAGGTATGCAGTCACACCGGCACTTTATAGAGTGAAGAGGTATGCAGTCACACCGGCACTTTATAGACTGGAGAGGTATGCAGTCACACCGGCACTTTATAGACTGGTGAGGTATGCATAGTCACACCAGCACTTTATAGAAACTGGTGAGGTATGCAGTCACACCGGCACTTTATAGACTGGTGAGGTATGCAGTCACACCAGCACTTTATAGACTGGTGAGGTATGCAGTCACACCAGCACTTTATAGACTGGTGAGGTATGCAGTCACACAGGCACTTTATAGACTGGTGAGGTATGCAGTCACACCGGCACTTTATAGAGTGAAGAGGTATGCAGTCACACCGGCACTTTATAGACTGGAGAGGTATGCAGTCACACCGGCACTTTATAGACTGGTGAGGTATGCAGTCACACCGGCACTTTATAGACTGGAGAGGTATGCAGTCACACAGGCACTTTATAGACTGGTGAGGTATGCAGTCACACAAGCACTTAATAGACTGGAGAGGTATGCAGTCACACCGGCACTTTATAGAATGAAGAGGTATGCAGTCACACCGGCACTTTATAGACTGGAGAGGTATGCAGTCACACCGGCACTTTATAGACTGGTGAGGTATGCATAGTCACACCGGCACTTTATAGAAACTGGTGAGGTATGCAGTCACACCGGCACTTTATAGACTGGTGAGGTATGCAGTCACACCGGCACTTTATAGACTGGTGAGGTATGCAGTCACACCAGCACTTTATAGACTGGAGAGGTATGCAGTCACACCGGCACTTTATAGACTGGAGAGGTATGCAGTCACACCGGCACTTTATAGACTGGTGAGGTATGCAGTCACACCAGCACTTTATAGACTGGAGAGGTATGCAGTCACACCGGCACTTTATAGACTGGAGAGGTATGCAGTCACACAGGCACTTTATAGACTGGAGAGGTATGCAGTCACACAGGCACTTTATAGACTGGAGAGGTATGCAGTCACACCGGCACTTTATAGACTGGAGAGGTATGCAGTCACACAGGCACTTTATAGACTGGAGAGGTATGCAGTCACACAGGCACTTTATAGACTGGAGAGGTATGCAGTCACACCGGCACTTTATAACATATTTTCTACGTTCAAAACTAGTCTCGCAAGATCAATTCAATAGAAATTCCAATTTGACCAAACACATGAACTGAAATAGATAATAGAGAGATCGTAGACACACTGCGAAAAGCCACAAAAATGTGTAATTTTCCGCTGGAACGAGCCTAAATGCTGTGATTTAAAAGATACAAGAAAATTCTCCCACAGAATGAGAAAAAAAACAGCTAAATTAAACTGCTTTTCTCAAATAATCTAGTTTCAGTCAAAAAAAATTACCTTGTATTTTATCTAAAGCAGTGTAGTTTTGTATCTTAATCTTTTGCTAAAACATTTTACCGTAAACTGTAAATAACATATACAAAGTTGAGCCAAAATTAGGAAAGAATATTGGTTGAAAATCTAAATGTTGACTTTCTGATTTTATAAAAAACAAACATAACATCTGACGTCGCAAACACATATTTTGTTGTTTTAAGCACACACATTTGTCGCATTTATGTAGTTATATAAACGCATGTCCTTCCTTTCTGGCTCGGAGCGAGAAGAGCCTTGAGTTGCAAACGGAGAGACGGAGGAGGTGCAGCCGAGAGGAGGTGAGACAATGGGATAAAAATACGAAGGAATGAGGTGTTGCATTTGAAGATCACAGAAAAAAGGGGAGAACGGGAGGAGTGTGAGAGCGTGGGGGAGAGAAGGGGGGGGAAGAGGTGAGAGAGAGGATCATGGAGGGGGAGGTGAGGGAGGTGGGATTAGATTAGGGATCATGGTCTGAAGAGAGAGTGTGGGGCGTTCATTTAAACCTGGCTCCGGGCGTAAGATTCGCCTAAATATCATTTTAGATCAGGACACTGTATTTTAATAAAACGGCCATAAACCCAGATGTAGTAGGATTTTGTTAGGTCTGTTTGAAACGTCCATCACCAGCACCGAGGCGGGACCAGGACTCATTAATGTGTCTGACATTTACTATCAGGCAAAAAAAAAGTCATTATGCAGCTGTTTAAATCTGGGGTACCTGACTTTTACGCCGCGAATAATGAAATGATGTAATGAAATCCAGAGGTACGAGATCTGAAAACAGTTCTGTGTATTTTTTTGGTCTTGTCAAATCTTTAGATCCACTTTTTTTTTTTTGACAGAAAGGAGAAAAAGAGAGGACCACACCCACGCTCACAGCCAATCAGGTCTCAGCCAATCAGCTCTCAGCCAGTCAGCCCAAAGCGTCAATTAGTGAATCATGGGGCTATTTGTTACACGTATGCTAAAGAATTCTGATAAGTAAGTAAGTAAGTAATCTTTATTTATATACCGCCTTTTCACTGCACATCGGAGTCTCAAAGCGGTTTACAATTGTTAATTTTGGGAGTGGGGCCAGTACAGGAGGCGCATGCCAGACCTATTGTACATATTTTTAGTGGTAGGGGAAACCGGAGCACCCGGAGGAAACCTACGCAGACACGGGGAGAACATGCAAATTCCACTCAGAAAGGCCCTGGTCCAACCGGGATTTGAACCCAGGACCTTCCTGCTGAGAGGCGAGAGTGCTATCCACTCAGCCACCGTGGCGCCCTAGATAAAGGCATCACGGTCCGGACCAGAAAGAGACCAAAAAGAGACCAGAAACAGACCCGAGAGAGAGACCAAAGAGAGACCAGAGAGACAGACCAAAGAGAGACCAGAGAGAGAGACCAGAGAGAGACTAGGGAGAGAGAGACCGGAGTACCCAGAGGAAACCTACGCAGCCACAGGGAGCACATACAAACTCCACTCAGAAAGACCCTGTTCCGACCTGGATTCAAACCCAGGACCTTCATCTTGCCGTGAAGCAAGACTGCTAACCACTCAGCCACCTTAGTAACCGCATAACAACGGGGCCTGAACCTCCACAACAGCAGGAGGATCATCATTTACTGTAAATTGATCCAAGAAAGAGGTGAGCTGAGGATATTGCTCTGATTGGACCGTTCTCTCCTTCAGTCCATCATCCCTTCATCACAGAAAACTTAGATCTTAATAAGTCTCAATCTGGCACAGATCTGGTCTCTCTGCTCAATGGTCTTCATCTTCCCATTAGTATTAATCTGACCATAAAGATTCCTGCTACATGACATTAGCGGCGACATGCTGCTTGTTCGGAGTCTAATGACGAAATAAGTCATTTGGGTAAAACTACATTAGACATGTTTTTTCCACATAGAGTCCAGAGAGAGAGAGCAGAGAGACCAGAGAGAGAGAGCAGAGAGACCAGAGAGAGAGACCAGAGAGAGAGACCAGAGAGAGACCAGAGAGAGACCAGAGAGAGAGACCAGAGAGAGAGACCAGAGAGAGACCAGAGAGAGACCAGAGAGAGCAGAGAGAGAGCAGAGAGAGAGAGCAGAGAGAGAGACCAGAGAGAGAGAGACCAGAGAGAGACCAGAGAGAGACCAGAGAGAGAGAGCAGAGAGAGAGACCAGAGAGAGACCAGAGAGAGACCAGAGAGAGACCAGAGAGACCAGAGAGAGACCAGCGAGAGACCAGAGAGAGACCAGAGAGAGAGACCAGAGAGAGAGAGCAGAGAGAGAGACCAGAGAGAGACCAGAGAGAGACCAGAGAGAGACCAGAGAGACCAGAGAGAGACCAGAGAGAGAGACCAGAGAGAGAGACCAGAGAGAGAGACCAGAGAGAGAGCAGAGAGAGACCAGAGAGAGACCAGAGAGAGACTAGAGAGAGACCAGAGAGAGACCAGCAAGAGACCAGAGAGAGACCAGAGAGAGAGACCAGAGAGAGAGACCAGAGAGAGACCAGAGAGAGAGCAGAGAGAGAGACCAGAGAGAGACCAGAGAGAGAGACCAGAGAGACCAGAGAGAGAGACCAGAGAGAGAGACCAGAGAGAGACCAGCGAGAGACCAGAGAGAGACCAGAGAGAGACCAGAGAGAGCAGAGAGAGAGCAGAGAGAGAGAGCAGAGAGAGAGACCAGAGAGAGAGAGACCAGAGAGAGACCAGAGAGAGAGACCAGAGAGAGACCAGAGAGAGAGAGAGAGAGAGAGACCAGAGAGAGACCAGAGAGAGACCAGAGAGAGACCAGAGAGAGACCAGAGAGAGAGACCAGAGAGAGAGACCAGAGAGAGAGACCAGAGAGAGAGCAGAGAGAGAGACCAGAGAGAGACCAGAGAGAGACTAGAGAGAGACCAGAGAGAGACCAGCAAGAGACCAGAGAGAGACCAGAGAGAGAGACCAGAGAGAGAGACCAGAGAGAGACCAGAGAGAGAGCAGAGAGAGAGAGACCAGAGAGAGACCAGAGAGAGAGACCAGAGAGACCAGAGAGAGAGACCAGAGAGAGAGACCAGAGAGAGACCAGCGAGAGACCAGAGAGAGACCAGAGAGAGACCAGAGAGAGCAGAGAGAGAGCAGAGAGAGAGAGCAGAGAGAGAGACCAGAGAGAGAGAGACCAGAGAGAGAGAGAGAGAGAGAGAGAGACCAGAGAGAGACCAGAGAGAGACCAGAGAGAGAGACCAGAGAGAGAGACCAGAGAGAGAGCAGAGAGAGACCAGAGAGAGACCAGAGAGAGACTAGAGAGAGACCAGAGAGAGACCAGCAAGAGACCAGAGAGAGACCAGAGAGAGAGACCAGAGAGAGACCAGAGAGAGAGACCAGAGAGAGACCAGAGAGAGAGACCAGAGAGAGACCAGAGAGAGCAGAGAGAGAGCAGAGAGAGAGACCAGAGAGAGAGAGACCAGAGAGAGACCAGAGAGAGAGAGCAGAGAGAGAGACCAGAGAGAGACCAGAGAGAGACCAGAGAGAGACCAGAGAGACCAGAGAGAGACCAGCGAGAGACCAGAGAGAGACCAGAGAGAGAGACCAGAGAGAGAGACCAGAGAGAGAGACCAGAGAGAGACCAGAGAGAGACCAGAGAGAGACTAGAGAGAGACCAGAGAGAGACCAGCAAGAGACCAGAGAGAGACCAGAGAGAGAGACCAGAGAGAGAGAGCAGAGAGAGAGAGCAGAGAGAGAGACCAGAGAGAGACCAGAGAGAGAGACCAGAGAGAGACCAGAAAGAGAGACCAGAGAGAGACCAGAGAGAGACCAGAGAGAGAGACCAGAGAGAGACCAGAGAGAGACCAGAGAGAGACCAGAGAGAGACCACCATATGGTTTAATGATTAGCCTCCTCTTTACTCACAGAAGTCGTCGATTCTGCTTCATGCACTGAATGTTTATGTTCTAGTTTAACTGTTGTCGCCAATGAGCCTTGTCCCGGGCCATTAGCGTGAGCGCTCAATTAGCAAACACGTTTAGCGTAGCCTTGCTTTGGCGATTACTCCGACTTCCAGTTAATTGTTGAATATTACATACGTACGGTTAGTGAATGGAGTCATTTTTTGCCGTCACATTAGTCTCTCAAATGCATTTTAAGGCAAAGAAAATGTCTCCTAATTGTACTGATTTATAATTCTGTCTGTTTAATGGTTGTAGCTTTATGCTCGACAGAAAGGCTTTGCATGGTCTGTTACAGCAGGTCCAGACGGAGGATTAGCAACTGTTTTGTGTTAATAATGGGGGCTTTTGGAGGTGACGTAATGTAAAGGACAGCTTTGCAATGGGGAGGTTTGGGAATGTATGTGAAAAGAATCAGACTCAGTGAATTCAGACAGTAGTAAGACCACAGGGAGAACACAGATTATACAACAGCTACTGCGGTCCTTAGCTAGCTGTAAATGCTTCATACTAGCAGCAAGTAAATATCAATATATCCATACATCTATTTATATCTGGCATGAATTATATTATCTGGATATGGTGTTGCTGGCTTAAACCCGTCTCCACGTGCTTGAACTTCAAATGGGGTTGTAAACATTTCCCCATAGACCTCAATGTAAACTAAAACAGCTCATCAGTCCACAGTCACTTTCCACATTTGCACACTTCCACTCGTCCCCATCCACTCCTGTGTATCCGAGTATCCGTGTGGTTCTTACGGCCTGCGTGTAGGCGTTGTAGGCCCCGAGGTGGAGGGTCATGGGGCTGATGACTCCCAGCTGCGATGCCACCTGCTGCATGCGCCTCAGACCGCGCTCCTTCTCCGAGTCGGCGAACTTCACCACCAGACTGGACGAGGCCCCCTGCCGAGGCCAAGAAAGGGAAGTTATTACGGCTCCATCTGTCAGACAGTCTCCCGGTCACACTGAGGCTTCTGACATTTACTAAAATAACCGAGCAGAGAGAGAGAGAGACGGCGAAGAGATGATGAGACGTTATTATTCTAGAGTTTGCAGAGAAGTTTTCTAATGCGGACACAAAGTTATGGTGTTAGATCAATTAAAACTTTGTCACCGTTAGTGTTTTAACTTAATGAAAGGTCATACTGTGCGTTATGCAGCTGGAGGTTCTTCTTTGAGGGCTGAATATTAATAAAATACATGTAGCATAAGGTCACAGGCTTAAAACTGAGGTGTGCCACGTTTTCTCATGAAACGCAGGTGTTTTAATCAAGTTAAAGTTAAATTATAGAGACATGTTGTATAGCACATGTGTCAAAGTCAAGGCCCGCGGGCCAAATCCGGCCCGCGAATGAATTTTACATGGCCCGTTGCCTGCCATTGACGCACTATTACGTCAATTGCGTTTTCCGCTATTTTCATGTTCCCAGATGTCTATTATATCTAATCTAAGCTTGAGAGCATATTGAATCGAGCCAGCAGGTGGCAGCAGCGCTCTCTGAATGGTTTGAAAACAGCTAGATGCACTTGTTGTGCCTCTTTTTTCTCAACTTTTTGGTGATTTCAGTAAAACTTCCCTCTACTCAACTGGGGATTACAAGCTAGAAACAAAATTATTTTTGCTGATGAAAGTAGACAGTCTATTCTTTCAGAATCTGGTTTCGGATTTCAGATAGTCATATATTCTGTGGTTCTATAAATCTATAAAATTCATCAGAAACTGCTGGCAATATGGGAGTACCTGTTCTGAAATAGGCTGGCAGGCAATGAGTTAATAAACATTGAACCAGTCCGGCCCTCGGCTCGCAGCAAATTTGTTTTTTTGGCCCTCTGATGTATTTGACTTTGACATGCCTGTTGTATAGGATATGTTCATATATCAGGGGTCAACAAACTTTTGCATTTGGAGAGCTACTTTTATGACCGTTTTTTAATTTGGACATTTGAGATGAGAAAAACAAATCAAAAGCAAAGTAATTATATATTGATTATGCAAAGTAAATAAACAATGTATGTCCAAAATAGGAGTGGGAAGAAGTTAAAAGTTTCTGTTTGAAATGGCAGAGAGCGACTTCATCTGTACCAAACACAGTGTAAAGCAGTTTGGGTAAAGATTATTTTCTTACTTGTCTATAATAACTGTATTATAACTACATAATAAACCATTATACTGTCGTGAGGTGGAAAGGAGGAGGAGCCAAAAATGCAGGAAACTAAAAAATGAAGATTTAATGATGATAAAATAAATAAATCCAAACGAAGCAGGAACAGAACAGAACAGACATGGACAATACAAGAGCTATCAAAGGGAGCAGCGAGCTACTGGAGGCTCCCGAGCCAGAGGTTGGAGACCCCTGCTCTAAGTTATTATAAAACATCTGGTCTGTTGCATACTTGTGAGAAAGTGCTGTGTGTGTCACGGTTTGGCTGAGAGCTGATTGGCTGAGAGAGGACAGATGCCAAAAATACTTATATTAGAACCAGGAACTAATATTTAATTCAAAATGTGTTTATAAATAACTGAGAGGTTTCATTCATGCCTTCATATTGTATGTTTTCTTTTCAATTTTCTATATAGTGCAAATTGGATGCCTCTGAGGGTAAAGCAGACATGAACAAACCAGTCCAGTCCAGTCCAGTCCAGACAAAGCTGTGACACACTTTACACACATTTGCTTTTGGGCGATCTGACTCATGGTTCCCCCTCCCCCAGTATTTAAATCCAGGTTTAAATCCAGGTCAAAGCCTTTATTTTAATACATATTTTGAGCAGTGGATCAGGTCCTGGCTCCAAAAGGTCCATGAGCACGTGCACTGACATAACGCAATCTCACTGGGCCTGTGGGGGTGTACCCGGAAACAGAATTACCCAATACTCTTTTGAATGGCGTTCTCTTTCCTCTTGAAAACCTTTTTACAGGATGGTTCAACTTTCGCTCTTGGTTCCAGATGCTGCCGATGCTGAAGGGGAATTATTATTGTTTTTGGACCAGTCTAGTTTAGCCGCTGTGGACTTCAGAATGCACTCGTTGAATGAATGGGGTTGGTGCTGGCTAACGTATGAGCAAATGCGTTCTTTCACGTGTTCCTGCCCTCGCGGCCATTTTGAAAAAGCCACAGAAGCCAAAAGTGATGTCGCATTAGTTTGATTGGCTGAGATAGACATGACTACATCTGATATTTACAGTCTATGATTTTGCGTTTCCTTGTGTATGAACGACGCTATAGAAATAACCTCCCCTTGCCTTTGCCTATATTCTATTGAGCATAAAAGACTTCCTGAATAACAGATGAAATACTAAAACATACTAAATGCTGGACCAAAACACATCATATTGACATGTTTGCCATCGGACGGCGACGCACACTAATCACAACAACAAAAGAGGATTACGCTGCTTTCAAATGTAAAGATCAAAATATGGATTAAGGAAAAGCGCTTTCGGAGACCCCACTTTGGGCTTCATCGTTGGATCTCGATTCTGTTGTTTTTCTAGAGACTTTGTGACGTGCAGCGGTCACGGCGTGTGTTTGTTGGAACGGAAAGCGACAGATATTTTTTGTTCTTCAATATGGTTAAATGGGTGACAGCTCATACAATTAAACATTATCACATTTATACAGTGTTTTTCACATCAAAGAACAAATCACCCTTTCACACAAACGGATGTATTATTTTATCTGGAAACGGTATTGCAGCCCATTGCTTGAAATTCACATCGGGTTGTTTAAATGTCCCCATAGACCTCAATGTAAACGAAAACAGGTCTTCCTCAGCCGACAGGGAACAGCTATATCACTAATGAGGGGTTTGTCATAATTTTTATCTTTTTAAATCCATCGGTTTTCCATAAATCCACACTTAAGTTCATATTGTCATTGGTCAGAACGCTCATGTGTTTCTCTGGTCCTGCACGAGACCAGGAGAACCGGAGCCAAAACAGTCTATGGTCGAAACACGTCACTTCCACTGTCCACGGTGCTAGCATGCGCCAAAGAGCACAGGCTATTGATCTGAATGGGCCTGACATTTATGAAATGGGTACGATGGTATGTTAGGACCAGGCTGCTCCAAATGCCATACCATATTAACACTCCTGGATTTCTTTTTCTCACATGTCTTTGATTGTTTGTGTTTGCTCTCAAATTAAAATGCAAACCTTTCATTTTTAATGTAGACCGAGCTTTTTGTCAGACCTGCCCTTTTTCTTTTCATTTATCGCTCAAAGTCAAAACAAAAGCTCAGTGCCACAAAGGGAATAATAGGACCCAGTTTGGTGAAATGCTGCAGCGGAGTGGCCTGGAGAAGAGCCGTGAGTCGCAGTGAGTCGCTGTGAGTCGCTGTGAGTCGCTGTGGTTCAGGAGTTTGGAGGATTTGAGTGTTTGAGTGCGGTTTGTAAAATTGGGGCCAAAGAAAATGGAGGCTCTGGCAAAAGGTGAAGAGGAGAAATAAAAAGTGGTTTTACAGGAAAGTATCAACAAATATAAAAGAGAAGGTGAGAAAGTGTCGGGACAGAGTCGGGAGGAAACAGGATAAAAACAATGAGGTATTAAAGGGTTTTCTGTTCAGTCGTTATAAAAGGAAAAGGAACGAGAGACTTTGGAGTTTATGGAGAAGATTGGATCAAGATCATGCACCAAAATGTAATCTGTGACATGTTAGTGCCATATGCACCAACTCTGAGGAGCACAGGGACTGGCCTCCTGCTGGGACTCTGAGGAGCACAGGGACTGGCCTCCTGCTGGGACTCTGAGGAGCACAGGGACTGGCCTCCTGCTGGGACTCTGAGGAGCACAGGGACTGGCCTCCTGCTGGGACTCTGAGGAGCACAGGGACTGGCCTCCTGCTGGGACTCTGAGGAGCACAGGGACTGGCCTCCTGCTGGGACTCTGAGGAGCACAGGGACTGGCCTCCTCCTGGGACTCTGAGGAGCACAGGGACTGGCCTCCTCCTGGGACTCTGAGGAGCACAGGGACTGGCCTCCTGCTGGGACTCTGAGGAGCACAGGGACTGGCCTCCTTCTGGTCCCAGAGTCAGGACTAAACATGTAGGCAGTGTTTCAGATTCATGCAGCTAAAACAGCCTTCCTAAAAATGTGAGACAGTCTTCTTCTTCCTCCCCCCTCCCTCTGAATTGTCCTGCTGCAGGTTTTACCCATAATAACAACCAGTATTTGTATCCATGTATAATGACATGCCCACACATATGTACTTTCCTTTTGTTATGAAAAATGAAATCCTCAATGTGGGAAATAGAAAAAATTAACAAATAAATAAATGAAAAAGACCCACATAAAAAAACACATATTATAATATTCTTCTTACAATGTTCTTAAATCCAAATATTGGTACATTCTTCTGGTTTATTTAGGTTTTACTTTTCGAGCTCCAATTGTTCCACATTTAGTACAAAATATTTCTTTTTGTAATCATCAAAATGTCAAACAGATGAAGCTGAGACGAAGATGCAGAAGACAGAGACAGGAGACAGGAGCCCAGAGACCAACAAGAATAATGGCTTTAATGAAAGAGGGAAATGAAATTAGACAAATGTGAGAGGAGAGGATCCAGAGGAAATTGTTAGATGGACGTATAGATTAAACACAAGAACCTCAAAGACAAAGGTTTGGGAAAAGGAAAGTGTTACCGGTAAAGTGCGGCTCCCGTGAAGAGCATTGATAGCAGCCTGAGCCTCGGCGTTGGTCTGAAACTTCACAAACGCACAACCTGAAAAACACGAAGAGAAATGTGTAAATAAACTACATCTCATATACACGACAAGGCTGGGTCTGGAGTGGGATATTGACCAATCAGAGAGCGGGGGAGGCGGGTGTTGTAGGTCGTGTCGGTGACGTCAAAGTTTGTGCTGAATTTGCTGGTTGTAGTTTGTCGGAGAATGCGATAGTAAAATAATCTGTTCTGGTTCAATCCAAATATCAAGAAACTGAAGCCGGAGCAAGAGGAATGTTTAGTAACTGTCATTGAAGCAAAGACATTTACTTCAATGTTGTGGCAAAGAAGATGGCTAAAGCTAGGCTAAATGCTAGAGGCCTCACTCACTCGGGCTCATTACATACCTCACAGTAAACTCAGATCCAATGGTTTCAATCTGTAAAAGGAGTTAGCCCCTCCCACCTGTTAACGGAGTCAATGGAGACAATCCAGACTTTAGTATGAAATGTAATTCGTACTATGGTGTGGAACGACCAGGCTAACGTCAAGCTAGACACTCTCAACAATTGCCTCAAAACCTACGCTTTCAGGAAGTAAAACCAGGCTCAAACCAGGACTTTATAAACCGAGTCTGGATCCCAAAAAGCCTCGGGGCCCCTCTCCCCACAGAGCCCCACACAAACGGCGAGACCACAGAAGAATGCATTAGATCAGTTACGTTGGTGTCATTAAATATATTTTCATTGCTTCATCAATCACACACCATAAACCAGCGCATGCGTCATTAGCCTTGACCCATAAAGCCTATTGGGCCATTAGTCATGCTCCGCGCAACAAAATCTAGCAAGTGTATTCGAACTGTCACCGGGTTTTGATTTACACGGAGAATAGTGGAAGCCAAAGCATTGTTGTTTGTTGGTGGTGGAGGCAATTTACATTTATGTGATACGGGACATGGCAATAAATGAGGGCGACAGTTTTACAGCCATAATATGCACGTAATTATGGCGTAAATCATTCCCGCTACAGGAAGCAGGAGTTGGGCGATGGTGGCAGAGGTAATCAACGCCGTGTTTTTTTGCGTCTGTGTGTTTATATTCTTTAGCGATCGATGATGAGTCGATTTTATGGATGTACAAGATGTGGGCAGCGAGTCAAGTGGACGGAAGGAAGTCTGGACCGAGCGTTGGGCCGCAGACGGTTTGATCAGGGGTTAAAGAAACAGCCCTAACCCTAACCTGGGCAGGTTTTAGAGCAGGGGTCCCCAACCTTTTTCAATCAAAGAGCTACTTTTATGCAACAAAAGAGGCAGAGAGCTACTACTTTTTGTTGTTCATTTCATTTTCATTTCATTCTGTTTTAGACTGAGCCAAGACAAACATGAAGAAGGAAAAATATTGAATGAATTTAAGCCATAGACGTTGGAGGAGATCCCGGGGAAGACCCAGGACACGCTGGAGGGACTATGTCTCTCAGCTGGCCTGGGAACGCCTTGGGGTCCCCCCGGACGAGCTGGAGGAGGTGTGTGTGGATAGGGAAGTCTGGGCGTCTCTGCTTAGACTGCTGCCCCCGCGACCCGGCAACGGATGAAGCGGAAGAAAACGAATGGATGAATGGACGTTGGTTATATTTGGATTGTCTGCCTCCTTACCCTGTTTGTCTGTGAACGCCATTTTGTTTTTCCTCAGATGGACAACCAAATTTCCCGCTGTTTTTCCTGGAGCTGATTTGAACTTTTTTTTTTTTTATCAATTGAAAAAATATCAATAAAAAATAGTCACATCTTAAAATATTGAATTATGAAAGTCAGAGAATTGAAGTCAGTGGTTGATTTCTGCTGCTGCCTCCAAAGACGGTAAATGTATGAATGTAAATGTAAAACGGAAAAAGAAAAAGCACTTTCCTAATTTATTATTCTTTTTTTTTTTTTTTTTTTTTTTTTTACAATACTTGAAGCCATCCATTTTCTTCCCATTAAACCATTTCTGGATCAGGGGGTGGCAGTCAAGCTACCACCCCAAGTGTCTGGCCCAAGGACACAACAACACTTTATTGTTTTGTCAAAGTTTATTGTCAACTGAGTACCGTATTTTTCGGACTATAAGCCGCAGTTTAAAGGCTGGTATGGCTTATTTATTTTTTGGGACAGGTGCAGTTTAAAACCCAGTGCGGCTTGTACAATAGAAAAATCAATTTCTTTAAAAAAAAAGATTGGGGCCTGCAGCTTGTAATCAGGTGCGGCTTATAGTCCGGAAAATACGGTACTTCCAGGTATTGTCCAGTCTCCTGTTGCTTCCTCTTCCAGTAGTTTAATGAGTCAGCAGTTTTACCATCAGTATGTAGCATCAGGGGTCAGCGGTTTTACCATCAGCACGTAGCATGAGTCAGCAGTTTAACCATCAGTACGTAGAATGAGTCAGCAGTTTAACCATCAATGCGTAGCATGAGTCAGCAGTTTAACCATCAGTACGTAGAATGAGTCAGCAGTTTAACCATCAGTGCGTAGCATGAGTCAGCAGTTTAACCATCAGTACGTAGAATGAGTCAGCAGTTTAACCATCAGTGCGTAGCATGAGTCAGCAGTTTTACCATCAGAACGTAGAATGAGTCAGCAGTTTAACCATCAGTGCGTAGCATGAGTTAGCAGTTTTACCATCAGTGCGTAGCATGAGTCAGCAGTTTTATGCTCAGTACGTAGCATGAGTCAGCAGTTTTATGATCAGTACGTAGCATGAGTCAGCAGTTTTATGATCAGTACGTAGCATGAGTCCGCAGTTTTACAATCAGTACGTAGCATGAGTCAGCAGTTTAACCATCAGTACGTAGCATGAGTCAGCAGTTTAACCATCAATACGTAGCATGAGTCCGCAGTTTTACAATCAGTACGTAGCATGAGTCAGCAGTTTAACCATCAGTACGTAGCATGAGTCAGCAGTTTTACCATCAGTACGTAGCATGAGTCAGCAGTTTTACCATCAGTACGTAGCATGAGTCAGCAGTTTTACCATCAGTACGTAGCATGAGTCAGCAGTTTTACCATCAGCACACAGAATGAGTCAGCAGTTTAACCATCAGTACGCAGCATGAGTCAGCAGTCTTACCATCAGCACACAGCATGAGTCAGCAGTTTTACCTTTGCTGGTGCCGTCGGGGCCTCGCAGCACCGTACACTCCTCTATGCTCCCGAACGGCTCGAACATCTTCCGGACGTCCGTGTCCGTCTGCTGCTTCCCCAACATTCCCACGAACAGCTTCCGGTCTTCTGAGGGCGAAGGACGCGACTAAGAATCACGTTTGCTAAAGTAGTTACGATGCTAACATGGGGTTGTCAGTGAGTTTTATGTGTGCGTCTGGGTCTTATTTCCTTCTTCCTCTGCTGTATTGTGCACACTGACATTTCTTCACTGTGGAATATCTTATCTTTTCTGATATCGCTGAGTAATCAAATGTGTATAGGTGATTGACAGGTGAAAGGTGAAGTAACCCTACTTCCGGGTGGATCATCATGACTGGTACACCTAATTGTCAATCACTCTGGTGATACATGCTCGTCCAATATCAATAATAATGTTGTATACAGCGCTTTTCTGGACACTCAAAGTCTCTTAAAGCTGCACTAACTGACTTTGGGATTTTGAAGCCGTGGACCCGCTGGCCTCGCTCTTTCTGCTCCCCTCCCCGCACCCACGAAGCTATCGCCCCCCACACACACCCACTGTTGTTGACGGAGCTAGCGTCTCCCAATATGGATAAACCATGGATATGGATTTGCACGTGGATGGCGTGACCATAGAACGATAGAACCGGGAAGCGCAGAGGAACGAGACTTTCTTGTGGATGGCTGTCTCGCTGTGTAAGCAGTAACCGGTGACGAAGACGAGGAAGTTTCAGGTTAGCTCCGCCGCTTGTTGTGCTAACTCAGCTGTCTGTGCTAACGGACCTGCAGATTTCTCACGAAAGTGGGGGCTAGTGGTGCGCTGTGATTGGTCACAATCTGCGACCCGAAACACATTCTCTTCCTTGTTTCATCAAAACTCGATCTAAAATATAATGTTACGCCAGCACAAATCTGCGCTACTTTTTCTTCAAAAGGACGTATATCCCAATGCACTAAATGGACATGGATAGCATTTTAGTAATTAATACAAAAATAAAGTCAGTTAGTGCAGCTTTAACATTATTATTCCTTCTCTCCAAACACGGTGGTGATTTAGCCACAGCTGCCCTGGGGCACACAGCGAGGCAACCAGTCTGTACCACCAACCATTCACACACACACCAGACTCATTCAAATGTGGGGAAAGTGTCTTGCCTAAGGACACAGCGGCAGTTTGGCACTTTACAGCCGTTCCACTGTTCCCAGAGGTTAAGTGTCTTGGCCGAGGACACAACAACAGCAGACAGCAGAGGGAGTCGGTGGAGAAAGTCTTGTGGTGGACTCAAACTTACAACCTTCAGGCTCAAAGGTCAATGCTCTACCAAATGAGCCAATGATCAGAGGGATTTGTTCAAAAAGTGGAGAGGGCGGTTCTTTCCTAAAATGTGGGAAAATCCTCCTTAACAGTCCAGGAATACTGTTACAAGTTGATCCTGATGCATATAACTGTAATCTGTACTATATTCTTAATCCTTAATCTAATCTGTTTGTCATGGAGTGAAAAGAAGGAGGAGCCAAAAATAAATAATTATTCAATGATTTAATGTCTCTGAAGTTATGTTTTGTGGCTTTAATGTGAATAAATACCTAAAATGACTACAGTGGTGTCCAGATCTGTTGGTCTAATTCTCATGCAGATTTAAACACATTTAGAAACTGTTTTTTTTTGGAGAACATCATCAATTTGTCGGTTTCTCCAAAACTGAAAATATTTTTGAAATGGTCACATCCTAAACTTTTGAATTAATGTTACTTGGCAAATGGCAATAAGTAGTTGATTTCCACAACTACCACCAAGGACAGTGAATTTGTGTGAATATACTTAGGGAAAAGAAACAGCACAATGATACTGATTTAATGAGAGTCTAGGGTTTAAAAAATAAAAATAAAGATCCAAACAGAGGAATTTACAACTGTGTAAAGCCCCTCTGAGACAACTGCTGTGATTCAAGCTACACAAAAATACATTGCTCTGAATGTTTTGAAAGTCAGGTACAGCAGCTTTAATGTTGACACGACGCGCACGTGAACAGTTTTAAGGATGCAGTTCCGGTTTGCTCCAGCAGAGGGCAGTGCGGTGGGTGGCAGGAGTGAGCCATGGAGTAAACACGTCTCTCTGATTCAGTCTGATTTGGTCTGATTCAGTCTGATTCGGTCTGGTTCAATCTGTTTCAGTCTGGTTCAGTCTGGTTTCTTCTGCAGCGTCAGGCCGCGTTGGTTTCTGGGTGTTTAAACCCATTCCATTCAAATCGCTCTCACTTGACATTACGCCTCTGCCCCAAAGACACTTTCTGAGAGACAGCGACCTTCATGTGAGGAAACAGACACGATGCAGACGAGCGCTGTAGAAATGTAATCAGAGAGGCTTAGAAATCAAAATAAATACATTCTGATTTTGTTTAAGATTGTGGACATGGTACAGACATGTTTTACTAGTTTAGAGCGATTTGTTTATGACATATGAGCCGTAGTATAGTAACAAGAGGCTGATGAAAAGGTCCTACTTTGAAACTAGAAATAATTTGCTCATTATTATCATATTTTGTGAACAGAACCAGTTAAACTATTTAGAGTCCAACTTCTGTCTCCCATAGAGCGACTGGTTTGTGTTTTAAGCAGAGGACTATAATGGTGAGTTGGCTTTATAACACTACTAATAATAGTAATAATAATAATTTGTATTATTATTATTATTAAGATCTATAACCTGTGTACTAGTGCAGGTGTGTGTGAATAATACCAGTTTCAAAAAATCACCATATTTTGTCATTTTAAGAATCCTTTAATACTGCAAAAAGTGGCGTAAAAATTAGCTACTATTGAGGAAATGATGTGACAGTGGATCATGACTTTTCCACTTGTTGAGATCAATATTATCTTAAGTGTCTTCAGCTGCAGGAGTAAAAAAGTCCATAAAACGGTGTGATTAAATTAATACACTGAACTACACTGGTTTATGTTTTCACTGTTTGCAATGAAGGAGCTACTCAGGGGTTAGTGAGCTACAGTAGCTCCCCAGTGCTGAGCTATAGTTGGTGATGTCTTATGAGATTTCATAACACTTTGAAGCAACTTTTGTTAAAGTTAAACTCATCATTCTATCAATGTGCAGAAGCCAGTACTTTTCCCTTGTTGTGTCTATCTGAAGGCCAAGCCATGGCACTGTGGCAGCTGCTGATTGGAGGTCTCCATGCCTCCGCTCTGTATAATACACTTGCATTCTGTTGTATCTGTGTTCGTGTGCTTTGATCGTGCTGTCTCTACCATCGACAATAAAACATGTCTTCTGTCTGAATTAAAGACGCGATCCCAGACATGTCATCTTCTTCAGTCTGATCTAAATCCATGAATTAAACTAGTTAAATTCTAAACTTGTGATTTTCAATAATTCAGAAATACAATAGAGCAGGGGTGCCCAAACTTTTCAGTAAGAGGGACACATCAGAATTATCCAAGGGCCAACGACAAAGCTGAAGTTGGCTGAATGACAAATGTTTACCATCTCGCGACATTAGCGACATTAGCGTCATCTACATCATGTCGTGTCAAACATAGATGTCTGTGTTTTCAAAAAAAGTCAATCACTGAATTCTCAAGGTGCTGAGCTTTACAACAAACTTGCCCCAAGCTGGAGTTGGCTGGATGACACTGTGAACTTGTGGGTATTATCTAAATTTTAAGACTGTTTAAAGTTAGCAACACAGAGGGCCACATACAATGACACAGAGGGCCACTATTGGCCCCTGGGCCTTAGTTTGGACATGCTGCAGTAGGGTTTGGGTTCATACATGGGTTTTTCATGTATAACACATGATTTTCTGTGTTGATTAAATAAAATAAAGAACATGTTTTGCAGCTAAAATGATCCAAAAAACATCTCTTTGTTGTGTGTCAATATAATGGGCCAGAAAGCAGCAGCCAAAGCGCGTCAAGCTAAAGAGGCCTGTCACAAACCCAATAGAGGAGATATACACAATTAGATGCAATGGATTATGTAAAGCAGCACATTGTGGGCTGTTGTTTCAGATGCATTTTGGCAGAATAATAAATCCTGGTTTGTGAAAACCTAATTTGCTTTTTCCCTGAATTGTTACACACTGTGAGCAGCTGCCGACACGGAAACATTAGAAAAGCCCCAAAAGTAACATGTCTTTCTCTCAAAAAGTTTAGTCCTTTGGTGATTTTGGTTTTGTTTGTTTTCTCAATGTTCCAAGTGTCATTACAAAAAGAACGTTCATAGTTTATACAAAAGTAGCTTAACTTAAATTACATTCTCATGAGACATGATCTTTTACAGTAGTTTACTCACACGTCGTTTACAATAAACTAGGGGAAACTGGAGCACCTGGAGAAAACCTACAGAGATCATGCAAACTCCTGAGACTTTTCCTCTGACTGGGATTCAAACCCAAGACCTTCTTGCTGAGAAGCGAGAGTGCTAACCACTCAGCCACTGTGACACAGCAGGTGCTGTAAATCACACCGATTATTGCCGTGGGCTAATTCCCTCCATTGCCCCAAACACACATTCATTCACCTTGAACTACCTGGAAGAAACCGGAGCACCTGGAGAAAACCCTGCAATATGCACATAGGCCTTATCTGGACCTGTTAGCTAACCCCTGTGCCACTGTGTTTAAGACTAGGATTAAGAGATTTAAATAAACAAAACAAATTAATTTTAGCATCAAGTATAAAATCTGTAGCTTTAGCATAATAAAGAAGCTAGTCTAAAAACCGTAGCTTTAGCATAATAAAGAAGCTAGTCTAAAAACTGTAGCTTTAGCATAATAAAGAAGCTAGTCTAAAAACCGTAGCTTTAGTATAATAAAGAAGCTAGTCTAAAAACCGTAGCTTTAGCATAATAAAGAAGCTAGTCTAAAAACCGTAGCTTTAGCATAATAAAGAAGCTAGTCTAAAAACTGTAGCTTTAGCATAATAAAGAAGCTAGTCTAAAAACTGTAGCTTTAGCATAATAAAGAAGCTAGTCTAAAAACCGTAGCTTTAGCATAATAAAGAAGCTAGTCTAAAAACCGTAGCTTTAGCATAATAAAGAAGCTAGTCTAAAAACCGTCCGACTTCTACGCCTCCCATTTTTTACTGTATTATTACTGCGTCCAATCGCTTCTAACTCCACTAGCTCTGCTTCTAGAACCCTCCTCCTTCTGTGACGTCGTTCCTTTAGCTCCAGAACAACGAGGATGGATTAGCGCAGGTTTGCAGCGTGTGTGTTTTAAACCCGGGTGTAAGTGTGCGCAGAGACCCGTGGTTGTGGATATAGGCCAGCGGCGTGGATGTGAGCGATACAGGTGTAGTTAAAGAGTAACAAATCATCCGTCTGCACCGGTCGTTAAAGCACCGACGCCTGAAATTGTGGTTTTCCAAAGTCAGCGAGCCACAAGGACGATGGATCCTTCACCCTCCACCTGTGGCTCTGCTGCCGCCGCTTCTGCCTCTTTAAAGGGCGCCGCTTCTGCCTCTTTAAAGGGCGCCGCTCTCTGCCTCTTTAAAGGGCGCCGCTCTCTGCCTCTTTAAAGGGCGCCGCTCTCTGCCTCTTTAAAGGGCGCCGCTCTCTGCCTCTTTAAAGGGCGCTGCTCTCTGCCTCTTTAAAGGGCGCCGCTCTCTGCCGCTTTAAAGGGCGCCGCTCTCTGCCTCTTTAAAGGGCGCCGCTCTCTGCCTCTTTAAAGGGCGCCGCTCTCTGCCTCTTTAAAGGGCGCCGCTTCTACCTCTTTAAAGGGCGCCGCTCTCTACCTCTTTAAAGGGCGCCGCTCTCTGCCTCTTTAAAGGGCGCCGCTCTCTGCCTCTTTAAAGGGCGCCGCTCTCTGCCTCTTTAAAGGGCGCCGCTCTCTGCCTCTTTAAAGGGCGCCGCTCTCTGCCTCTTTAAAGGGCGCGGCTCTCTGCCTCTTTAAAGGGCGCTGCTCTCTGCCTCTTTAAAGGGTGCTGCTCTCTGCCTCTTTAAAGGGCGTGGCTCTCTGCCTCTTTAAAGGGCGCGGCTCTCAGTCTCTTTAAAGGGCGCCGCTCTCTGCCTCTTTAAAGGGCGCCGCTCTCTGTCTCTTTAAAGGGCGCCGCTCTCTGCCTCTTTAAAGGGCGCCGCTCTCTGCCTCTTTAAAGGGCGCCGCTCTCTGTCTCTTTAAAGGGCGCTGCTCTCTGCCTCTTTAAAGGGCGCCGCTCTCTGCCGCTTTAAAGGGCGCCGCTCTCTGCCTCTTTAAAGGGCGCCGCTCTCTGCCTCTTTAAAGGGCGCCGCTCTCTGCCTCTTTAAAGGGCGCCGCTTCTACCTCTTTAAAGGGCGCCGCTCTCTACCTCTTTAAAGGGCGCCGCTCTCTGCCTCTTTAAAGGGCGCCGCTCTCTGCCTCTTTAAAGGGCGCCGCCTCTCTGCCTCTTTAAAGGGCGCCGCTCTCTGCCTCTTTAAAGGGCGCCGCTCTCTGCCTCTTTAAAGGGCGCGGCTCTCTGCCTCTTTAAAGGGCGCTGCTCTCTGCCTCTTTAAAGGGTGCTGCTCTCTGCCTCTTTAAAGGGCGTGGCTCTCTGCCTCTTTAAAGGGCGCGGCTCTCAGTCTCTTTAAAGGGCGCCGCTCTCTGCCTCTTTAAAGGGCGCCGCTCTCTGTCTCTTTAAAGGGCGCCGCTCTCTGCCTCTTTAAAGGGCGCCGCTCTCTGCCTCTTTAAAGGGCGCCGCTCTCTGTCTCTTTAAAGGGTGCTGCTCTCTGCCTCTTTAAAGGGCGCCGCTCTCTGTCTCTTTAAAGGGCGCTGCTCTCTGCCTCTTTAAAGGGTGCTGCTCTCTGCCTCTTTAAAGGGCGTGGCTCTCTGCCTCTTTAAAGGGCGCCGCTCTCTGCCTCTTTAAAGGGCGCCGCTCTCTGCCTCTTTAAAGGGCTCCAACTTTAGGGTTTGTTTTGACTCCAAGGCATCGCTTCAGTCACGAATGCAGACTTACTGTCTCACTATCTTACTGTCTCACTATCTTACTGTCTCGTTCACTGTCTCACTGCTTCGCTAGACTGGTTGCCTCGCTTCTGTCAGTGTGCCCCAGGGCAGCTGTGGCTACTGTAAAAGTTTATCAACACCATATTTGGAGTGAAGGAACAATGACTTTGATTGTCCAGAAAAGCGCTACATACAATACATTATTATTATTATTATTATTATTATTGTTATTATTATTATTGTTATTATTATTATTATTATAATTATAGTTTTTGTTGGAAAAGACCAGATCCCACGACTTTAACATGTTTTCATAGCGTCTGGAGACACAGAGAAGAGAGGCCAGTGTAATCTAAAATACAAATCTCACATATGAGTCCTTCAAAAATTCGCAAACGGAGAAAACTCAATTAAATTCATAATATTTTCAGATGTGTTGGAGTAAAAACGAGCAGCAAGGACGAGGCAGAATTATAAAGTCATACATTTCCCACTGGATCAATAAAGTTTATGAGCAGAACCAGGACCAGGATCAGAATCTAACAACCCAGTAACGGCAGCACTGAACCAAAATCAATACCAAGGAAAGACTTTTATAAGGAGAAAATGGCAGCGTTTGTGGAAATACACTGTTAAAAATACAGGTCGGGAAAGAACCAAGTTTTTTTTTAAATCTCCATTCAATTTTATCGGCCTCAAAACAACATTTACAAAACATGACACTCAAAAATGTCCAATTTCAAGCAGAGAATAACTTATTTTTTTCATTCAAAGTGAGATTTTGCCTCGTCTCCGGACTCGGTTTGGCTTATAACATTGAACATTTTGATTTTTTTTGAGTGAAAATCAAAAATCAGAGTCAACTTCCACCATTAAACAAATATATGATATAGACTCATTACAGACAAAAGTGATATTTATTATTATTATATTCTAAATGTTGAAAATGGACTGGAATATGTCACTTGTATGTAAGAGTGACAGTAGCCCAGACTTTCTCCACCGACTTCCACTGCTGTCTGCTGTTGTTGTGTCCTTGGGCAAGACACTTCACCTCTGGGAACAGTGTTTGGAGTGAAAGTAATGACATGTGAAGCGTCTTTGAGTGTCCAAAAACTCACTGTATAAAACCGATGCGTTATTAATGAGTATATTACTTAATCTGTTTTATTTATTTGTTCTAGCGGAAAAAATGACAAGAATACGTCAAAAAATTCTTGCGTTTGGGTGTTTTTTTGCCGGAATTAAAACTAAAATAACAGAATAACATGTATATACTGGACAGATGCACTCCATATATATATAGATCTGCTGCGACAGGGACATTTCTAGTTGTATAAATATTATTAATCATTATTTCAAGAAGAAAAAAAGTGCATCTGTCCAGTACATACATATTATTCTATTTTTTTAGTTTTAATTCCGGCAAAAAAACACCCAAACGCAAGAATTTTTTGACTTTTCTTGTCATTTTTTCCGCGTGAACAAACAGACGCCTCTTCACGACTGAATCTGTTACTCTCTGACGCTGTGTGTTGTGTAGTGTGGTGTTTTGTGTTGCCTTTTTAGACGCATTGTGTTGATAGTGTTGCTGTAATAAAAGGGTTGTGTTTGCACAGGTGTTGTGTCTGTGTGCGCCTACCCCCTCTGCTCTCACTGTCCGCCGGCTTCACCTGGATCGGGCGGTTCATCTGCAACGAAAACACAGAACACAGGCCACTTTAGAGTTCAGTTCAAGACCAAGACTTTGATGGTTCCACAGAGAAGGAAATTCCAGTGTTGCATCACAAGTTACTGAACAGAAGGAATAAGGAGCACACAGCACAAGATGAACAAAACTATAAATAAAATAATAATAATCTCTAGTTCTAGCAAAAAAAGAAGCAGTACATAAACTCTAACTATGCTAACTAGCTTTAGCATAATAACAAAGTATGTAAGAATAAAATCTCTAACTATTAAGTTCTGTACGATCAAAGTACACAGGGACTGGACTCCTGCTGTGGACTCTGAGGAGCACAGGGACTGGACTCCTGCTGTGGACTCTGAGGAGCACAGGGACTGGACTCCTGCTGGGACTCTGAGGAGCACAGGGACTGGACTCCTGCTGGGACTCTGAGGAGCACAGGGACTGGGCTCCTGCTGTGGACTCTGAGGAGCACAGGGACTGGACTCCTGCTGGGACTCTGAGGAGCACAGGGACTGGGCTCCTGCTGTGGACTCTGAGGAGCACAGGGACTGGACTCCTGCTGTGGACTCTGAGGAGCACAGGGACTGGACTCCTGCTGGGACTCTGCGGAGCACAGGGACTGGACTCCTGCTGGGACTCTGAGGAGCACAGGGACTGGACTCCTGCTGGGACTCTGAGGAGCACAGGGACTGGACTCCTGCTGGGACTCTGAGGAGCACAGGGACTGGACTCCTGCTGGGACTCTGAGGAGCACAGGGACTGGACTCCTGCTGGGACTCTGAGGAGCACAGGGACTGGACTCCTGCTGGGACTCTGAGGAGCACAGGGACTGGACTCCTGTTAGTGCCCAGAGTCAGGACTAAACATGGGGAGGCTGCTTTTCAGATTCATGCTGCTAAAATCTGGAACAATCTTCCTGAAGATGTGAGACAGGCCTCCTCTCTGACAATGTTTAAAACCAGATTAAAAACAGATATTTTTAGCAGCTACAACTGAGGGATTTTATATTTTTATCTTTAATGTACTGTGGTTATTTAGAATTTTAAGCCTTGTCTTCAGTTGTGTATATATAAACCTATACATATAAACTTGCTTTAGTGTTATATTTGAAGCCAATCCTAAATGAAAGCCATGTATATAAATATAAACGGCGTGTGTGAAACATCTTGTGGCACATCTGGTGACGGGGGAGCACCATATGGACGACGACGGGCGGCGGAAAGCCATCCACAAACACCATTTTCTCTCCGTCAATATATTCTGTTTGCCAAATTAAAGAAAGAAAATCTGGATCAATGGAAGAAAAACAGAAACGACAAAGCAAGTGTGTGTGTGTGTGTATATGTGTGTGTGTGTTTGTGTGTGTGTGTATATGTGTGTGTGTGAGTTTGTGTATATGTGTGTGTGTGTGTTTGTGTGTGTGTGAGTGTGTGTGTGTGTGTATATGTGTGTGTGTGTGTGTTTGTGTATATGTGTGTGTGTGTGTTTGTGTGTGTGTATATGTGTGTGTGAGTGTGTATGTGTGTGTGAGTGTGTATATGTGTGTGTGTGTGTGTTTGTGTGTGTGTATATGTGTGTGTGAGTGTGTATGTGTGTGTGTGTGTGTTTGTGTGTGTGTATATGTGTGTGTGAGTGTGTATGTGTGTGTGTGTGTGTGTGTGTGTGTGTGTGTGTGTGTGTGTGTGTGTGTGTGTGTGTGTGTTTGTGTGTGTGTGTGTATATGTGTGTGTGAGTGTGTATGTGTGTGTGTGTGTGTGTGTGTGTGTGTATGTGTGTGTGTGTGTGTGTGTGTGTGTGTGTGAGTGTCTATGTGTGTGTGTGTGTGTGTGTGTGTGTGTGAGTGTCTATGTGTGTGTCTGTGTGTGTGTCTGTGTGTGTTTCGATGTCCCGCCCTCCACCCGCTCTGTCTGATGTTTTTTGATTTGATTTCACTGTTTTCTATTGATTTGGAAATAGTGAAATCAAATAGTTTCTCCTGATATCCAGGTGACATATGAGCTGTCGTTACTCATACTGGTTTGTGCCATGGTTTTACTGTTTGTGAACTATAGTGTAGCAGGAGAGGCCCAAGAAGCAGAAGAAATGATCAAAATGTCCAAAACATTTCCACAAAAACATGATAGTGTCCCAATATATACATGTTCTTTCTCCCAAAACACCATGGGGAGTCCACACCTGGTACAGTATGTAGTTCATACTGAATATAAAAGGCCTAAGAAGATCCGTAAATTAATCTCTCCGTAAAGTGTGCTCGAGAAGTGGACTTTCTGGATTGGATTGAATCAGAACTATCACTGTGAATGTGTGTAAAGTTTAAGACTAACAGCTGCTTTAATGGCCCCACAGCGGGGAAATTCCAGTGTTGCATCACCGGTTACAGACAGAAGGAATGAGGAGCCCACAGCACAAGATACATGAACAAAACTAAACAATAAAACAAAAATTATCTCTAGTTCTAGCACAAAAAGAAGCAGTATAAAATCCCTAACTATGCTAACTAGCTTTAGCATAGTAAGAAAGCAAATCTGAAATCTCTAGCTTTAGCATAATAACAAAGTATGTAAGAATTAAAATCTCAAACTATTAGGTTCTATACGACCAAAAAACAAAATACATCTATGCAAGAATTAAAAAAATAGATGTTTTTGATGGTTGGGAAAACATAACAAAAGCAGCAAAAGTCCCAGTCATTTACACGAACAGGTTAGATTCATACTGTAGGAGCTAATGAGGCAGAGAGCGGGAGACGCAGCGACAGGCCGTGAATAAAAGCTTATGATGCGTCTTAATAAAACCACAACACGGACTTTGGGTTTCGTTGTTTCACTATTTATCCTGACATTTCTATTTTAACTGTAATTGCTTGTTTTCTAAAGGGGGTTTGTGAGCAACCGGGTAATTTCCCTTGTGGATCAGGGAGGTTTGTCTTAGGACGCACAACCACACACACACACACACGTACGCACAAACGCATACACACACACACACGCACACACACACACACACACACACACACACACGTACGCACAAACGCATACACACACACTGAACAAGGCCAGGACTGAACCACGACAAACACAACAACAAAGATCCATGTAGCGTTTAAAAGCAGCAGAATGTAAACATGTGGCCAAAAGTGGTACTGCAGCCTCTCCCACTCTCCCTGACTCAGGTTGCCAGATATGCAGACAAATCCAGCTGGGACCATAACAGCTGAATAGACAAGAGTTTTGTCAACAACAAATCTATAACCAACACCTTTTTCACAAAGATAGAAATCCTGGTTTTATTCCTTGTTTTGTCGTTAATGATTTGAGAATTATAACGAGACCTTTTTTAGTTCTGCGCCACATGGTACTTTACCAGTGAGATTAGCTCCACGCGGTGAGTTCTGGCGCCCGGATCACAGACTTTCTGATTGGTGAAACGGTGGAGGGCGGGACATCGAAATGAAAACAACAAGATTTAGAGGCTGGAAAAGTAATTTAGAAATTCAAATATCTCTGAACGACTGTTATCAGTTAAATAAATATCCAGGTTCAATTCTTTATAATCCAAATATATTCCCGTTAGTTTCCTTTTGGAGCATATCTGATCCCCCCCTCCCCCTCTGCCCCTCCCTGCCCCTCCCCCGCTCTATAAAAAGACATTAAAGTCAACTTCCTCGTCTCCATCTTCTGCCTCTCTCTGACACGGATGAGTTTGATGTTACTCTCTCTGCCTCTAATCCCGCCTCGGTCTCGCTCTGGTCCTATCGCTCAGACCCAGGACCGCCACACAACACACCCACGCGGGATTGTACCTGTGATAAGATTAAGAACGGTCTGCGGCTAATCTGGATTACAGCAGCAGGAGCAGCGACGGGCGCAAGTGGGAGGCGGGTTTTTGGGCTTGAATGGTTCTGAAGAAGTGTCTAAATGTGATTTTTTTTCTGCCTAATATGATGATAGTGAGATAGTGTTGAAAGATCACATGACTGTTTGGAAAGGCAAGGTTATTTGGATAGCACAGTTTATACACAAGGCAAGAACAAGACAAGAAGAAGCCTGGCTCATGTTTTCAGGAAGATAGTTCCAGATTTTAGCATGAATCTGAAATGCAGCCTCCTCATGTTTAGTCCTGACTCTGGGACCAGCAGGAGTCCAGTCCCTGTGCTCCTCAGAGTCCCAGCAGGAGTCCAGTCCCTGTGCTCCTCAGAGTCCCAGCAGGAGTCCAGTCCCTGTGCTCCTCAGAGTCCCAGCAGGAGTCCAGTCCCTGTGCTCCTCAGAGTCCCAGCAGGAGTCCAGTCCCTGTGCTCCTCAGAGTCCCAGCAGGAGTCCAGTCCCTGTGCTCCTCAGAGTCCCAGCAGGAGTCCAGTCCCTGTGCTCCTCAGAGTCCCAGCAGGAGTCCAGTCCCTGTGCTCCTCAGAGTCCCAGCAGGAGGCCAGTCCCTGTGCTCCTCAGAGTCCATTTGAGTATATTAGTATATTTTTTAAAGTTTGACGATTTAATTTGCACAAAAATCGAAGAGAATAATTCCAGCAAACTCATTTCTCTTTTTGACTTTTGTAAATTTCATATTTTCATGGTGTTAAAATACGAAATTTCTCACTTGAATTAAAAATCTAAAAAGTAATTATCGATGAACAAAACTCACGACTTGGAACGACACACTCTGAGGTTTCTTATCGTTACCGTGGAAACAGAGCAAAGGATAAAAGTAGATTGTAACTAAAACTATAAATAAGACTGGATCTATTGGAAAAAGTACTTTATACCAAACTCTGTGTGAACCTGCAGCAGATCCATACAGACACAACATCAGTGGATATTTGGATTAGTATAAGGCCTTTTCTAATTATAACATTTATATTTTTGTTGTAACACTGAGGAAAGCTGTAAAGACGACACAGACTGAGACGCACGGACATTCATTTCCTCTGATCCTTAAGATTAAAACCATTTTCTCAGTATAAATTAGGCCCCTCCCACATATGGATGAATTACCATTTCTCTCAGTTCATTTATAGATTTGGAGTTAGGACCAGAGAGGACAGGTCCCGGCTCAAAAAGGTCCATGAGTTTGTGCACTGACATGCCTGTAGTCTGACTCCTTGTCTGTGGGGGTGTACCCGGAAACAGAATTACCCAATGCTTTTCTATGGCGTCTTCTTTCCTCTCAAAAACAACTTTACAGGATGGTCCAAAAGTCTCTCTTGGTCCAAAAGTCTCTCTTGGTCCAGATGCTGTCAAAGTTGAGGGGAGTATATTTATTCTGGACCAGTCTGGTTTAGCCGCTGTGGACTTTTGAAGACACTCGTTAAATTAATGGGGCTCGTTTTTTCACATTTTCCAGAGGGAGGGGCTGCACGCGGCCATTTTGAATCTGCCCAAGTCTGTGGCACATACATTTCTATGGTTTTAACGAGCAATGGTTTGGTATTTTTCGTACAAGGTCAGTGTAAAATGTTGCGTTGCCAAAAAGAAACTTGTGCTGAACAGAAATAGAACAAAACAAAAGTAAATGGAACTAAACAGAACGTGGACAGTGACAGAAGAGACAGAGAGAAGGTTGCAGGTTCAAATCCAGTCTTCTGTGTGGAGTTTGCATGATTCTCCCCGTGTCTGTGTGGGTTTCCTCCATGCGCTCCGGTTTCCCCCCACCCCTGAAAACATGCACCACAGATAAGTCATATTATACCTGCTATCATCTTGGTCGTTAATCTTTGAATTATTATTTTGACTTTAATAAAGAGAGAAAAGTCACAAACAAAGACTAATGTTATAATTACTAATATTTGGCAAAAAAGCAAATCCTGCATTTTCCCCGAGGGCCGCACCTTGGACAGGCCTGACGTGGAAGTGAGGACCTCTTTGCTTCCATCTTGTATTCATTTGCGGCAGTAGCTCAGTTGGTAGAGCGTTGGCCTTTGAGCCAGAAGGTCGTGGGTTCAAGCCCCGCTCAAGACTTTCACCATCGACTCCCACTGACTACTGTCGTTGTGTCCTTGGGCAAGACACTTAACCTCTGGAAACACCAGCCACAGTGGGGCTGCTGCGGCTGTAAAGTGCCAAACTGCTGTTGTGTCCTTAGGCAAGACACTTCACCCCCATTGCCTAGAATGAGTCTGGTGTGTGTGTGAATGGTTGGTGGTGGTCGGAGGGGCCGATGGCACAGACTGGTTGCCTCGCTTCTGTCAGTCTGCCCCAGGGCAGCTGTGGCTACAGCAGTAGTTTATCACCATCGTGTTTGGAGTGAATGAATAATGACACATGTGAAGAGACTTTGAGTGTCCAAAAAAGCGCTGTATAAAACCGATGCATTATTATTATTATTATTATTTATTGTGAGCAAATGAAGCGTGTATATTTGCCTCTGTGCAGTCGAGAATAACTCTGAATTAGAATCTGCACATTTACATCTGAGCCAAAACGCCGCACGAGGCCCCAACACAGTTTTCTGTCATTATTGCCAATCCGCTCTGTCCAATTTCATTACGTCTGTATTTTAACTATAATTGCTTCTTTTTCAGGGAGAGAGTTTGTGCGCCGCAGTAATTTCCCTGGTGGATCTGTAAAGTTTATTTAAGTCCAAGTCTAGAGGTGCAAACATATAACAGGCCACTAGGGACGCTGCTTTCTTAGACGGCTGTTTACTTACTTACAATCATTCACAAACATTGTTCTGCAAAAACTAATCAGGTTTTCAGCCTAATTCTGCGCAAACAAAAACAAAAAGGCGAGTTTAAAGAAGGCATTAAACTGACCTCATCTCGATCAAAGGTTTGGCTCGTTTTCATAATTTTTTTTTACGATAGAAATGTCAATATTTGTGAACCCTAACATGTACAGGGGGAGGCGGCAGATCAATCAACAATGAATTATTCGCCCCTAAATTTACTGAATAAAAATCTGATCTTCTTTGCTTTCTTGTTTTATTTTTATTCCGGTGGGGAGATAACCAGAGGCAAAATGAAAAGTAAAGTTGAATTATTTATGAACTGCACTTCAGTATAAACACCTTGAATTTTAAGTGGACAAAAGCAGTCAGAAAGTGTTGCCAGCGCCGTCCGACTGTTTCAAGAGTCTCCAGTTTTTACTTTTAAAATCTCAATATTGATCTAAAACGATGAAACAAAACATCTGTATTCAATCTTATAAAAAGGTCACATCCAAAGATCCACTCACACTGCAACCAAAGTGAACTCAATGCTATAGCCAGGCCTTACCACTCCACTGTAGAGCCCTGCACTTGAGCCCTTGGCCCGAGGGCCCCGACAGCCCGAGGGCCGGGCTTCGGGCCGATGACCGCATAATGGCCTCGGACTCGGGCCGGGCTCGGGCTCTTCATTTTCAGAGCGGCAGAATACATTTACGAACGCACCCACTGAATATAGCGTTCTATCACGCTGTAGTGTTTGTTGTTCTGTGTAGTGTTGTCATTGACGACACACAGCGTTACTTACGGGTGTGTTGCAGCATCTGGGCATCATACAGCTGTGTATCATACAGCTGTGTATCATACAGCTGTGTATCATACAGCTGTGTATCATACAGCTGTGTATCATACAGCTGTGTATCATACAGCTGTGTATCATACAGCTGTGTATCATACAGCTGTGTATCATACAGCTGTGTATCATACAGCTGTGTATCATACAGCTGTGTATCATACAGCTGTGTATCATACAGCTGTGTATCATACAGCTGTGTATCATACAGCTGTGTATCATACAGCTGTGTATCATACAGCTGTGTATCATACAGCTGTGTATCATACAGATGTTCACTCTGCACCACTCCGCACACACAGAACTCATTGCAACACATCACTACCATGTATAACTCCGCCCTCTAGCTAAGTCTGCGTTCATATCAGTGCGCGGCACTATATACTACGCTAAAACATTGTTATGGGATGTTACAAAAAAAAAAAAAAGCCGGGCTTGATGCGGGTTTTGGGCCTGAAAATTCAGAAACCATATCGGGCCGGGCCGGGCTGGGGCTCCACCCCTTCGGGCCAGGGCCGGGCTCGGGCCCAGATAATAGGCCCGTGCAGGGCTCTACTTCACTGTACTCATTTCATTTCATACTGAGGTCTGGATTGTCTCCACCGTTAACAGGTGGGAGGGGTTAACTCCTTTTACAGATTGAAACGATTGGATCTGAGTTTACTGTGACGTATGTAATGAGCCCGAGTGAGTGAGACATTTAGCATTTAGCCTAGCTTTAGCATGTAGCCTAGCTTTAGCCATCTCCTTTCCCACTAACGGAGCCCGTGGGGAGTAGAGCCACAACATATTTGCTTCAATGACATTCACTAAACATTCCTCTTGCTCCGGCTTCAGTTTCTTGATATTTGGATTGAACCAGAACAAATTATTTTACTATCGCATTCTCCGACAAACTACAACCAGCAAATTCAGCACAAACTCTTGACGTCACCGACACCGACCTACAACACCCGCCTCCCCCGCTCTCTGATTGGTCGAAGGGGATTCAACCGAGGAAACTGCAGCCACTAGGATCAGACCCAGACGTACATGTAGGAAATGACCATGGACCAGAGTTTACACATGGTAAGACCAGACGTACATGTAGGAAATGATCATGGACCAGAGTTTACACATGGTAAGACCAGACGTACATGTAGGAAATGACCATGGACCAGAGTTTACACATGGTAAGACCAGACGTACATGTAGGAAATGATCATGGACCAGAGTTTACACATGGTAAGACCAGACGTACATGTAGGAAATGACCATGGACCAGAGTTTACACATGGTAAGACCAGACGTCCATCCATCCATTTTCTACCCTTTAATCCATTTCTGGGTCAGGGGGGTGGCAATCAGAGATGCCACCCAAGTCTCATAGCACCAGCCCCTCACTGATCCTCTGCGGGTGGTGAGTCCACAGGAGCTGAGATCTTCCAGCGGGGGCTTTGGGCAAAGTGGGGTTAAGTGTCTTGCCCAAGGACACAACAACAGCAGTCATCAGTGGGAGTCGGTGGAGAAGGTGTAGAGGTGGGAATTGAACCCACGACCTTCTGGCCTTAAGGCCAATGCTCTACCAACTGAGCAACTGTCGCCCCAGTAAGATCAGACGTACATGTAGGAAATGACCATGGACCAGAGTTTACACATGGTAAGACCAGACGTACATGTAGGAAATGACCATGGACCAGAGTTTACACATGGTAAGACCAGACGTACATGTAGGAAATGATCATGGACCAGAGTTTACACATGGTAAGACCAGACGTACATGTAGGAAATGACCATGGACCAGAGTTTACACATGGTAAGACCAGACATACATGTAGGAAATGATCATGGACCTGACAATGTTCAAATCCAGGTTAAAAACAATTCTTTTTGCCTTTGCTACGACTGAAGGATTTTATCACTATTTTTAATGTACTGTGGTTATTTTTTATGTTTTAATCCCTTGTGTGATTTTAATGTTCTATTGTTTTTAAACACAAATGTGATTTTTAACTGCGTTTTAAATGGTCATCTCAAGAAGTCAGTCGAGCTCATTAATACCTAGGATGACAATAATAAAAAATAATAATAACTAGAAACTTGCAATGGCTGAAGCCATTGCGATTGACTGCGGAACAGATCTAATGTGGAAATCTGCTAAAAAAAATCCTTGAAATCCTTTAAAAGGCCTTGAAACTGTTAAAATACTTGATAGATATTTGAAACTCCTGAAGTCCTTGAAATTGTTGAAACCTTTAAACTCCTGAAATCCTTGAAACTGTTGAAACATTGAAACTCCTGAAATCCTTGAAACTTTTTTAAACCTGGAAACTGTTGAAAGTGTGGAAACTCCTGAAATCCTTGAACCTCCTGATATCCTTGAAACTGGTTAAATTCTTAAACAGTTGAAATCCTTGAAACTACTGAATGTATTGAAAGTGTCCTTGAAACTGAAAAATCCCCTCACCGCTGAAACAATTTGGTTCCTGTAACTAAGGAAACCTGGTCTGTGGTCATTATCTGGTGGTGGTCTGAGTCTTCGTTTGGGTCTTGGTCTGGTGGTATAATGCAACCTATTAGGTTGCATTATACTGGTTTACATGGAAAAATCCCTATTAGGTTGCATTATACTGGTTTACATGGAAAATCCCTATTAGGTTGCATTATACTGGTTTACATGGAAAAATCCCTATTAAGTTGCATTATACTGGTTTACATGGAAAAATCTCTATTAAGTTGCATTATACTGGTTTACATGGAAAAATCCCTATTAGGTTGCATTATACTGGTTTACATGTACAAATCCCTATTAAGTTGCTTTATACTGGTTTACATGTAAAAACCCCTATTAGGTTACATTATAGTGGTTTACATGTAAAAATCCTTATTAAGTTGCATTATACTGGTTTACATGTAAAAACCCCTATTAAGTTCCATTATACTGGTTTACATGTAAAAACCCCTATTAAGTTGCATTATACTGGTTTACATGAAAAAAACCCTATTAAGTTGCATTATACTGGTTTACATGGAAAAATCCCTATTAAGTTGCATAATACTGGTTTACATGGAAAAATCCCCATTAAGTTGCATTATACTGGTTTACATGAAAAAAACCCCATTAAGTTGCATTATACTGGTTTACATGGAAAAATCCCTATTAAGTTGCATTATACTGGTTTACATGGAAAAATCCCTATTAAGTTGCATAATACTGGTTTACATGGAAAAATCCCCATTAAGTTGCATTATACTGGTTTACATGTAAAAAACCCTATTAAGTTGCATTATACTGGTTTACATGGAAAAATCCCTATTAAGTTGCATTATACTGGTTTACATGAAAAAAACCCTATTAAGTTGCATTATACTGGTTTACATGGAAAAATCCCTATTAAGTTGCATTGTACTGGTTTACATTGTTGCATTATACTGGTTTACATGGAAAAACTGGTTTACATGTCCCTATTAAGTTGCATTCCCTATTAAGTGGTTTACATGGAAAAAACCCTAAAAATTATACCCTATCCCTAAGTTGCATTATACTGGTTTATAAGTTGCATTATACTGGTTTACATGGAAAAATCCCTATTAGGTTGCATATTACACTGTTGCAAACTGCTGAAGTCCTTGAAACTGGTTTGAAACATGTTGAAGTCCTTGAAACTCTTGAAAAAACTGCCCTAAACTGTTGAAGTGTTGAATCATTGAAACTGTAGAAATGTCTGAAAGAGCTGAAGTCCTATTAAAATGCATGGGCCTATTAAAATGCATTGCAGAATTCTCAATGCAGATTTTTGTCCGATTGCGGAAAAACCGGAAATCGCTGAAGTCCCAAAAGTAATAGCAATAATCTCCCAAACATGTGGAACGTTTTGATGTATAACTTGTGGAAATTGTTGAAAATGTGAAAGCTGTGAAACGTGTCAAAAAAAATGACGGAATAAAGAAATACAAAACCAATGGTTGACTGCGGAAGGTTCCGCAGTCAATCAATAATACATTTCTATAAAAGCGCTGCACAGTTAGCATCACAGACAATAAAATAATTATGATTCATGCTTATACAAAATCAAAATATTAGATAGAAGAGTAGCTAGTATGACATCACATCTAAGGTCACCCTGGATTGGTCGGAGGGATAACCCAGGACATGAGGTGCCCGGCAGGGGGGCGGTCAGTCAGGAGACAATGGTAGCTCCTGACGTTAGCGTGGATGGAGCTAAAAGCAACTCCTGGTCTGTGTTTGAGGAGGGATCATTATAGCTCCATCTACGTCTCT